GGGATAGTACTTTACGACTCGAGTCTATGTGAATGGATTGCGGGCTCTATCGATCACGAACCACGAGAGCAGGAAAACAGCAGATTTGTGGGAAGATTACGCCTGTGAATCCCCCATTAATCACGGGATCTCCATCTCATCCGCACGTCCGAAAATCAATGCCGGTATTCCTCGGCGTCCTGCCGTTATTTCCCCCGTAATGATCCCATCTCGAAGCAGTGAATCGCCTCTAATCACCTCACATGTGTGTGTTTGCCTGGAAGGCATTTAATTCAACGGGGAAATTGGGATTTTCCTCCCTCGTCAAAGGCGGGGGGTGGGGGGGAGGGAGACGCTCGGGATATGTCACATCCACGCATGGCCCATTCTCTCAATGATGGATTCATCAGCCATCCATTCTCCATGCCTGTCCCATCTACTTCTTTTCCTTGGGCCCTTAGATAAATGAATCCCTATAGACAGTGCGGGGTGGCCATTATAGTTTGGCCCACAAAAAAATGCTTGCACCCTCAGATAGGCAAAGGAAGCTTAATCTGTCAAAAAGATTGTCATTGCGGGATTGATGAGGTCAGAGACACAAAAGGGTCTCAGTTGACTCTCAGCTCCTTGGGAAGCAAAAAAAAAAGTCTTTTCAACCCGTACTCTCACATGAATGTCTTCGTGCAACGTCAAATTGCTGCATTCACGTCTCATGTAATTTTATGGTCAATTTCCTCATTGCTATCCTCTGAAACGCCCTCTTGAAGATGTTCCGCAATGAATCTCCTCTCTCCCCAATGGAGACACTGCCAGAATTGAGCGGAGTCCAAGCGGCTCGCGCATGATTCCGACTCGAGGCTCTGCGGATGAGCTGAATCGGATTATGCTGGAAACATCCCAGAACACCTCGGCCCAGACGGGATGATCCTATTCCCTCTGGGACTGGAGGCTCGAGAGTTGGAATGGCTACCGCGTAAAAAGCGTGCAGTGAATAATTCTTGCGCTGTTAGATACATTCACATCAATATCCAATGTCTTGATAATCCTATCACGAGGATGTTTTACTTCGCCCTGCTGATTCAAGTTCGCGAACCGGAGAGAATGGCTAAATCGCGGCTTAACAGCGAAAACGTGTGCTTACATACAAAGTGTGCTAGTAAATACAAATATAGGTCTAAGAATAAAAATATGTTGAGCTAGGCATGAATATGCTTTAACACGTTGACGACCAGCCTATTTTTGCTTGTCCGCCGCGTGGGACCACGCGCATTTTTTTTGTCAAAAAATGCGTCCTGCCATCAGGACGCATGGTCCCAGAAAACATTTTTTTTTGCCGAGTTTTTTTTAAATGTTGAATTTTTTGGAATTTTTATCAGTAATTACGAAATCATAATCTTCTGGAACGTTCTCAACAGTTCCAGAGGGTATTCATTGAAAAAAAATCTGCATCCTGGCATCAGGACGCATTGTCGCCAACGTGTTAAATAAACATAAAAAGATACGTTTCTCAGCCTTGAAAAAGTAAACAAATGAGTTCTTGAATGTTGCAGGTCATGTGGAGTGAGTGATGTTGAGGGTGGAGCGGGAGGAGAAGAGGAGGAGAGAAAAATCTCATGACTTCCCCCTCCATCCGCCTCCATTCGCATTCCGCTGCCTCCTCCACGATGCTCTGCTGTGGAAGGAGAAAGGTACATGCCCTTGTCCTTCGCTCGCCCGGCCTCGATCCCCTTCGTCTGGGTCAATGGTTTGTTTTCATGTGCAGGAGAGAGGAGGGGATGGGGGAGTGGGGGATGTCGGGATGGCCCAAGATCCCAGCGGCTTCGTCCAGCTCCAGGGCGACTTCAGAAAGGTAACGTCTTTATCTTCTGTTATCGGTTTCTGAAAAGACGAAAGGCCTTGCGAAAGGGGCAAAGATGTCACGAGATAAGATGGAGGACGAAGACGCCCCTTCAGATGATTCTACGTTTCTGTTTCAATCTTTTGACCTGAAACCTCTTTCTCGTCTGTACTATACCTAAATTATCCATCAGCAGTCAAAAATTTGTTCATCACCTTTAACCAAAATCTTGGGTCTAGAAGCAATTCAAAAAAAAAGCAAGCAACAAATGTGCATGCACACGATTTTGACTGGAATTTAGATCCAAACTCTACAGGTTTAATTTAACCTTATATTAAGGATGGAGTTTTTAGCAAAAGCTAGGGAAAAACCCCGAGAGAGCACGCGTCAACGTCTAACTGGAGCAAGTGCTCTCAAGTGAGCAATTCCGTGGGGGAGAGAATTACCGGGAGAAGCAGACGAACGAAATACTTGCTTCAGAATTTCAGGGTAGGGGAAGGAAGGAGAATTCTACTCAAGACGGAACATGAGGTTCCCTTCTCACATTAAAGGCACTAGAGAGGGCTCATTGGCGGGCTACTAAAATGATAAAGGAGGAACGAGGACTCTCATACAAGAGGTGCTCGGAAGCTGCGGGACTCCATTCGCTTGAGAGGAGGTTAACGAGGAGAGATCTCGTCTTGGCATTTAACATCATTAAGAGAATCGATAGCAAGGAGCGTGGTGGGTTTTCCCAACTCGAGGGTTACGGCAGAACGACAAAGAACCAGTTTAATTTGCCAAAGAGACTCGGGTCGCGGAATGACTTCTTACCTTGGAAGGCAGTGAGGTAGTTGTGGGGTGGTGCTGAGGTAGTCCCTGCCCCATTCGTGACTAGCTTCCAGGAGGGGTTACATGCCTTCATGGCACGGCAAAGCAAAAATTAAGGGGAGGAAGAATAGCCGGAACAAGGCAGTAGATGGACATGCTCCCACAAAAATTACTATCTTTAAAGGGGTAAGCTTAGATTATTTGCTTATTTTGAACGCTTAACCTCGGCACGAGATGTTATTATTGGCAGAAATGCCTTGAACCTCGAGTCCCGCCGACGACTTGAAATCTGGAATCTCCACAGTTGCAGACAATTATAGGAGTTGGAACTTATTTTTTTTGTGACCAAGGGGTGGTAACATTCATTAGTTTCTTCTATTTCATATCTCTTTCTCTTCTTGGTTCTTATTTAATTTTCGTGAAATCTGTTGAGCCTGATTCCACGATGACGCTTTCGCGGAAAAGCTGCAGCCTTCAAGCCAATTAGTTGTTTCCCCCTCTCTCCTGGATAAAGCAGGCATCGACGAAGAAAGAGATGAAAGGGAAAGAGGAAAAAAAAAATAAGACAAAGAAAAAGATTCCAGCGTTAGAAACCCGGCTTCGTCAGCAACTTTTCCCCCTTGATGAACCCCCAAGCACCATCGCCATTCACCGAGGAATTCCCTGCATCCACTCTTTTATCTCTTTTCCATGGCCGGAATGGGACATTACAGGATGAGATCGATTCGCAGTGAAAACATTTTAAGGAAAACGATGAGCCTTTATTTTCCTGTACCACGTACTTCCTTGAGGAAACTGCTTGCCCCAATCACGATCTAATTGGGAAGCTTGTATACAAAATATTTATTGAAAATCAAGTGAGTTCTGTCCGATTTCCGGCTTTAACCATTTCGACTTCCAACGGTCTATTCCAGAGTAAAAGCCAGATTGAATCTAGAAGTGGTGATGGCTAGACACGTCAAAATTCAAGGGCTTCGAGCCCCATAGGAATCGCAATCCAGAAGCCATACACATATCACATCTCACAGTGAATCTGATCTACTAAGAGGAATTTATGATACCAGCAAAGAATTTTGTCCTACAATTGTATGCCTCTAGCAATATAATGTTATAAGGCCTTTAAAAAATGTCAAGCAACTGGAAAACAATTTCACGTTGCTACAAAAATATTTTAAGACAATCAAATAATCGTATACAATTTATTCCTATTTTATTCCTATTTCATCTGAGAAAGGTCCTCCAATGGTTCAAGCTGATAACATTTTCGTATGCTCTCTGATGACGCGCAGGTGAGCGGGATCTCGTCGGAGATCTTCCGCCAGATCGAGAAGGTGGAGAACGACCACGACGCGTCGACGGCGGCCGCGCTCGCGGAGGCGGAGCGCCGCGGCGAGATGATCATCCGGATTCTCGACCCGCGGAAATTCTCGCGGCCCGCCGCTGACGCCGCCCGCACCTTCTCCCATCGACACGTGCGTTTCCCTCATTTTTCACCTTCCCGAAGGAAAAAAAAATCCTTGGCAATCGCGAAGTAATTCGGGAGGAGGTAAGGAAAAGAGTAATGGTAATTTTAATAATTAATGACAAGATTGCCTCGGTAGACTGTCTCCATCTCACATCAGATCCAAATCCAGGAAAATGACTCCGGAGAAAAGGTGTATGGATTCACGGAGCAAAAAGTAAACAAACCGAGGAGCTGTTGGCACCTGAAAACTCATCTTTCAACGCCTCTTTTCGCACTCAGATGAATAATTGACTCGGAATATGCGGCATGAGTTTAATTTGATGAGTTTCCATTTAATTTTATTTGAATTTATTATCCCATATGTATCCCGTCTCGATCCTCTTGCAAATTTTCCAGTCGCGGACCGAACTTCGCAAAACGTAGAATGTAGACCTATTCTCCAGAACTTTTGCGAAATCGAGATGTTCGCCAAATATCGCATTAAAAAAAGGGGGGGGGGTGAGACCTGATCATCGGATTATTTACGACTAGTTTACTCCGGTGTTTCATTTCCCGGAAATGAAGCACTACTGCCAGCAGTGAAAATCTGGAACCGGCCCCGCTAATAATTCATGCAATCAATCCATGTTTAATTGGCGGATATAAGCAGTACCAGTAGAGGTACTAGTTTCGTACCAACAAATTGCCGCTATTAAGTTGCCAATAATATTATGGATAAAATTTATGCCGTCGATGCCTGAATGACCTGTAACTGCCTCTCATTATTAATTATTTATAGCTATTTATTGCTCGATTAAGTATCTATCATTCGTCTTGGTTGGGACGTGAAGGGTCCGCATTTTATTTTCCATTAGTACCCCGCTCCGTGGGGGGCTCGGTCGGTAGCTGGCATTACTTATATCTGACAGGATGGGTCTGATAAATAAAAAAAATTAAGGCTACCCGATTGTCCCTTTCCCACGAGGACTGGGGCGACTGATTGGTCCTCTGGTCCATATTCTACAGTCTGTATTCTTTCTCCCCAATCTCGGGGCTCTTGATCGAGTTTCTGCGCGCTGTAGTGTGTGCTCGCCGGCTTCTCTCTTCGGCGAGCAAGTTTTGGGATTCATGGTATATATAAAAATGTAAAAAATTCAAGAAGTAAATCACTCCCGACGGTTTGCTCATTCAAATCGCAGAATATTGAGAGCATCAATAGCATTACACGACATGCAAGCAGCAATGACTAGCGGGGAAACCGCAATGAGCTTTCACCTTCTCCGGTCAAAGTCAGTTGGAGAAGTGCCTGCCCCTGCCCCTGCCCCCCCTCCCCTCCAAATTCGAAGAGAACTTTGAAAGGTAATTGAACAAACCCTACGGGATATCTAGGATGCAGAAACAAAGGTGGATTTCGTGGAGATCATGAAGAGGCCTGGCCAGACCCTCGGCCTTTACATCCGCGAAGGCAACGGAGTGGATCGAGGCGACGGGGTCTTCATCTCCCGGATCGCCCTGGAAAGCCCGGTCTATGGGTCCGGTTGCCTCAGGGTCGGGGACGAGATCCTGGCGGTCAACCTGGTCGACGTGACGCGGATGAGCCTGGACGACGTGGTCATCATCATGTCCATCCCCCGTCGACTAGTGCTGACCACGCGGCGGTGCAAGCCGAGTCAGAGGGCCGCCTTGATGTCGCCTCCGCCGATGCGATCCGAGTGTCGACCGCCCCCCGTGGTCGTCATGAAGAAGATCATCGACGAGCCGGACGAGGAGAACAACCACCTGGATTACGAACCCGACTTCCCTCGTTACGGGAGCCTGGGAAGACCCAGGAATTACTACGGAGGACGTGTGCCGGGTGTTTATCGGGACTACCAGGGTCGGTTCCAGACCGGCTCCCTCGGACATTCCTACTCCAGTACGGGTCGAGATTATAATTACGGGAAGGAACACGTGGAACCCCCTCACTACGGGAAGGAGCCTGTTGGATCCATGTACCTGGAACGGGACGAGAACCTGTTCTACAACAGCCGGCCGATGGGAGGCGAGATACCGCCGACGAGCAGTTACATGCCGCCGCCGCCGGTGGTGACGGAACAGCCTCGACCCTCCCTGCCCTCTTTGCGACGGGGGACGCTGGAGTCCCTGGCGGAACGGGTCCATGCCTTCCACGGGGCCGCTCCGCCGTCTGCACTGGACGATTCCATCCGGCGGATGCGGGCGATGCAGCAGCAGCAGCCGTTCGGGTATGCAGATGCGAGGCGGGGACCTCCACCGCCGCATCCGATCAGGAGTTCCTCGCTCAGGATGCCTCCTTATTCCCACGTGGGGAGTGGGTACGACTCCCTGCCGCATCGGAGTGCGTTGGGGATGCGGCGGCGGCCGTACATGCCCATCTCGGGGATGAGGAACCTGGACTATAGTTCCGATACGGAGGTCATGATGCCGAGTTCCTCCGCCACGCGATTCTTCCGCGGTCGGCCCGTTCTGGAAAGCCGGGTCGAGGACAACGATGGTGCTATCTCTGCTCCGGAAATTTCCACCAGTGCCGAACGATTGCGTGAGTCCTTTTCTGTCGTTTCCGTGGGAAACGGGTGATCGTACGAGTAGAATACCGAGATTGCACTGTTTAAATACTGTCAAGGACAATACTTTCAATATTTGTAACTCGGCGTTCTCAAATATGCACAGAGTGATTCGGATGGCACTTTATAAGTTGGCTTGGTGACCTTTTTTTCACGAAAGCCTCTTGAACTTGACAGCAACTTTCCAGGTTTATCTAGAACTTCAGATCTTTATCAGAGCGGATTTAGTGAAATTTTACGTTGGGGAATACAGCAACTCTGCGAAGTTCGTCCCCGGTGGAGGCAGAAGGAATGATCACAGACCCCGAGGCGGACGACCGGGAGAGTGAAGAGAGGAGGCGGAGGAGGATGAGAATGAGGGGGATGGGGGAGGAGGACGGTCTCGGTCTCGGGAGGGCTCCCTCCACCAGTGCCATCTATGAGAGGCTCCGGGGACTGCGTTCTGCCTCCCATGCCGCCATCTCCCCGCGCTATACGGCCAGTGCCGAGAATATCCTTCATTCCGCCTCCCGCATTTCTGTGCGTCCGACAGCTCTCGTCTATGGGACCTTTCAGATTTATTATCATTATTCACCCTTAGTTTAGACTCCCTAAATATATATTTCCTTTTGCTACAAGTTGAAGAGGTTTAATGCTCATTCAAATGTTGATATTTTTGCATCTTCCGCACCCTAGCATAGTGCATTTTCCGTTATCAAGTTATTGGTTTTGTTTCGTTGACTTATTACGTCCCAATCCCGTTTTGATTTCTTATTTCAGGATCTTCTGCTGCTTCTGTTACGTCTATTTTTGTTTGAGTGAGTCTCTGTTCGATTTGCCGTTGAGTATAGTTGACGCACCGCTCATAAGTAGAACATTTTTTTTTAGGTAGCAATAGTAATTTATGTTGACGAGAATTCAGGAAAGTTTCTTTTGGATATATTCCCAGGAGTCGGCAGGACTGTATTCCCACCTACCTCACCTGGGCCTGGGTCGAACTTCCGCCTCTAGTACTGGGCCCGGCATAGGACTCGGCCTCCATGGGTTCCCTCTTCCTACCTCCCATCATCCGCTCACTGGATCTGAACATTCTAAGATCCTCGATCTCAACACTGCAGGTGAGTTCCTTTCCTCTCCTAACTTCGTCCCCTTTCCACACCATGATTATGATTATTATTTTGATATATCGAGCAGATTTCGTGAAGTACAAGCTGGCTAAGGGGAGCGTGGGGACGCCTGGAGACCGCGTGAGCGGGATCCTTGACGTGCATCTGATGGCAGGCCGAGGATTACGAAGTTCAAGTTCCATGGGACGAGGATCCGGAGAAAGGATAAGAACGATGAGGGACCTCTACTGCGTTCTCGAGGCGGACCGCATCCACAAGGCGCGAACTGTCGTTCGAACCGGCGACCATTCCTTCGATTGGGATGAGACCTTTCACCTCGACCTCGTTCACAACAACGACCTGGACTTTCTCATTTACTCTTGGGACCCACAATATCGACATAAGCTCTGCTACAAGGGCTCTTTGAACCTTCCGACCCTGTTGAGCCAAGGGACTCAGCATCAATTAGCTCTCAGGGTCGACCCTCGCGGGACACTGTATTTGAAACTGCGCTTCATGGACGCTAATGCTGCGTATCGGAGAACTCCATGCCCCCGGAAGAGTGGACTATTCGGAGTGAACCTGGAGTCGGTGGCATTGCGCGAAGGGGCGGCTGCATCTGGTGGCGTGCCCTTGATCCTCCAGCGGTGCGTGGAGGAGGTGGAGCGGAGGGGGCTTGACATCATCGGGCTCTATCGCCTCTGTGGCTCTGCCTCCAAGAAGAGCATTCTCAGGGATGCTTTCGAGAGGAACCCTCGCACCGTTGACCTCACGCCTGACAACGTTCCGGACATCAACGTCATCACCGGTTCGTCTCTGTCCCGCTTCCATCTCGCTCAACTTCTTTTTTCTTTCAGCATTTTATACTCTATGAGCAAATCTCCCATGTCCCATCCAGTTGGTTAAGGTTGGAAGACTCTTTCGGTAGAAAGAAAGAAAAAACTTAACATAGGAAATTCATGCCAATCGATGCGGGCTCTTATACACGACCAAGACTTTCTTCCCAACCCTTTCATCAATTTGTAAAGAGGTCCACGTAACGAATGAACTCAATCTTTGTAGGGGAAGCAAAAGACTTTCCAAAAATCGCATTTATTTGAAGTCTGCCAAGAAAGCATGGTGATGTTGATAGCCCGGATTCCATAAGGAATTTCCATCCCCCAATACCAAGAAAGGATCTGGCAATGCTCGAGCTGTTGAATGAAACTTGGTTAGTTGATAATGACAGGGATGGCAATTTTCAGGTGTGGTGAAGGACTATCTACGAGAGTTGCCAGAGCCTCTGGTGCCGCCATCTTTGTCACAAATGCTGGCTGAGGCTCTGCAGGTCTGCTTACCCGATGACCCCGAGGGGAATGCTCGGCTCATGTTTTCCATTCTCGACTGTCTACCTCGGGTCAACCGGGTAATGCTTTTCCCCTTCTTGTTCATCCAATTCCAGAACCGTTTAAAAACAGTTCTGGAAACCTACTCAAATGAATGCAACTATTGTCATGAAATGGTTGCGTGTTTTTGGCGCAGTGCACGCTGCTGTTCTTGCTGGACCATCTTCGGTTGGTGATAGCCCAAAGCGATAGGAACAAGATGACTGCTCAGCATGTTGCCTTGTGTTTTGGGCCTCTCCTCATGCTCCACTCAGGACCTGGACCTGAGGAGAATATGGATTTTGCCCGGGCAACAAGGATCCTTCAGTATCTTCTCGACATCTGGCCTGCCAAGTCCGGTAATGTCACTTTTGCAATACTGCTTCCATGCCATTGGTATTCTATTAAACTAAAGTGCCAAAATTATTTAGCTTTTTTTTTTTTTACTCTGTTGTGTCCATCAAGTTCAATAATGAGGGTCTTCAAAAGCTTTAACATCTCGATTTGGGACTGACAGTTCGAGTAGATCTATTTGAAGTCTGCAGGGCTTCACACCTAGTGACTTGGTTAATTCTTGGTCAGAAGAGAAAGTTTGACAAGGAAGCTAAGGGAAATTTTAAAGTAATAATCAGATTTCAAAATGACCTTAACCTCTTCAGACCCTGTGGCATGTACAGAAGCCAAACATTAACACGTTAAAACCCCTGCTAATATCGCTTCTATGTCACGGATTAAACTGTAAGCCATAGAAGAATTAAACAGAGTTCCCGAAAAAATGAATGCGCCTCATTGGACTCCGTTTGCATCACAGCAGGGGGTTGTGAACCTGGCGCTTCTTTGAATATGGCAGCCGTCTGCGATCATAAAAGCCATTGTTGATTGCTCATTATTGACCCTAAAATTATGATACACGTTGAACTGCATTGCCAAATAATGCGGGGAAATTATTAATAAATAAAGGGATATCTTACTTATCATAGAGCTTTTCTGGGATAGGTCAAAACATAGTTGGGATGTACACATGCCACGAGGCATTGCGCCAATAAATTTGCGTTTCAGGGTCCAAATACACGGAACTCCTTCATCAGTTTGAATGCAGTGGCATTGTTGTACCTGACGTGTTGGAGCCCTTCCAGCACCAGGCTGGCGAAATCGAAGAGAAAGGCCAGAAAGGAGATGAAGATATGGACAGTGGCGGATCCGGGGAGGGGGGGACGAACCACCACTCATGATTGTTTCAGGTACATATTTGCAGGCAGTGCCTCCCGCTTGATTCACAATTTCTTCATTCACCAAAGAAACCATTTCTTGTGGTGCTGCTCACATACCGGGTATTAGAAAAAGTGAGAACTACAGTACGGAGAGCCAGGGGATTAATGACCACTACCTAGCGAGCGGGGTGGGGGAGTGTGGGGTACCGCTGTGTCGTATTTCCGAAATACCATCCAGCCTAATTGCTACTATTGTTGGAGCAATGACAGTGACAAGGCCTAGAAACATTTTCGAATACGATCCTTGATGACTGGCTTCCATAAGTTTCTTTTACGGTAAAAAAAAAATTTGCATGTCGTCAATGGCGCACCTTTATGGAGGAAAACCCGGTGGTATGTCCCACTCTATTCCTCCAATACCAAGAATGATGAAAATATTGGGTTTCTTGCTTTGACCATCGGAGGTAGAGCTTAGGCAACGAGCCAAAGGATTTCAAAATTGGCATGCAACTTTGCCGTCGGGTCTGAAGAGGTTAACCACTACTGTATTGCATTCACATTTCCTGATTTTCTGCTCTGGATTGGTTAGCATAATAAATGAAGACTAAACAATAGAACATATACAGGGGAATCTCTGAAGTCAGGAAGCAGAATCATACTGCATTAAATATTTTTTTTTTGTCTATGTTTTTGCCTTAACTGGCCTATCTGCCTATCTGAGATGGTACTGTAATGTCCGAGTTACTTGAACCACACATTCTGATTAAGGTGACCCAAATTGACCCAATGAAGCAAGTCATCAGAGTGACTTACTTGCATTAGATTTTGTGGTATTTTGGCATTGCAGTATCCAACAAGGTAGGAGGAAGGTTCACAACAACTTCCTATGTACAGGGTGGCCCAAAAAAAGGCACTCTTTTCAACGTGCATTTTAGGTGTGACGCTCTCAAGGATACATTTTTTGGTTACATGTAATGGAAAGAAGAAAGACTCTTCTACCAAATTCTTTTCATCAGACTTTAAATATCTTGAAGGATGATTCAGAAAAAAAAGATTGAATTTCGGTTATGAAAAATCCGTGTTGCTCCCACTGACCGTATATGGCGGCAGGTACAATCATCCATCCTCGTGACGTCTGCTGAGGTCAGCGTTTCCCTTCCCCTTTTCGTGAATGTCAGAACGTCGAGTGGATGTTGGGTCCAGTGGGTGGGCGCAACGCCGATTTTTCGTTATCGAAATTCAATAATATTTTTCTAAGTCATCCTTTAACGAATTTCTGGTCTGAAAAAGCGCGTTTTGTAGCATAAGTCTTTTTTCTTTCCATTACATGTAGCCGGAAAAAATATCCTTGAAAGGTTCACACCTTAAATGCACATTGAACAGAGTGCCCTTTTTTGGGCCACCCTGTAATCTTATGATAGCTGACTTTTCGGAAATCCTGTATATAGTTGGCCAGATTAAGCTGGCATCCACTGATGAGAATGAGGGGATGAGGAGATGGAGGGTTGATGACACATCCCTTCCTATAGACAGTTCGGGCAGCAGCAGCGAGGGGGGTCGGGCACCGCAGGAAGCCGTTGAGCAACTCAGCCACAGGGGTCCTGACCCCGCAACAGTTCAACGGTTCCTCGGCCACAGGGGTCCTGATTCAGGAGCCGTTGAGCGACTCCTCGACGGCAGGGATCCTGACGTCTCCTGGAGGAGTCACGAGCGAGTCTTCCCTCAGCCCCCCACCAGCTGACAAAGACACCAACTGTAGAGGTGCCACCGCAGAGGACAACAACGGAGAGATAAGGAATGGCAAAGCGAGTCCAGCAAGCATCGAGCCTGAATCAAGTGACATGGAACCTCCAAGTCCATCTTCATCAGAAGGACAGACTGCATCCGATGTTGGAGGGGAAGAAAAAAAACCTGAACCTCCTTTAGAAGATAATCAAACTGATGACCAGAAGCTTGAGGGAAATGATGACGATCTCGAGTCATTAGATCTCAAATAAGAACATTCCTTCTCACATATCTCAGTATGCCTACATAGCTAGACTTTCATCAGCTCCCATTCCATTCTGCTCTCTATTAGGGTATTGAAAAGATACTGTTGGTTTTCATGTTATAGATCCCTTGAAAGGTGCCTTGGCATTGAAGTACTCAGATGACAGGTACGGTTGAATCGACTTAACGAATAACTAATTCTGGCATTTTCCCCTGTTACCCTGAAGGTGCTGAACTTTTCTGCAAAGTATGAACAACACAACCATATGAATGTCTTATTGTCCAGAATAGGATGATACTTGGATAGAGGTTGTTTCTGCAATTATAATAAATAAACTTCATCCAATATCATTCCATTCCAGTGTGTCATACAAGGTCAAATTACAAGTTAAAGATGCCAGAATGTCCATACAAACATCAAGTTACTTTCATCTGGGTGCTATGGTTTCAAGGATTTAAGAATTCATGTAACACCCTCTAGTGGGCCCACTAATGAACATTGGCCCAGTACTGCACTAGATTGATTTGTGATCGAGATTCGCTTATGGCATTCCTTTCTCGCAAATATTTATTGAAGTGAAAAGGATCCCAGTGCCTCTGCAGCACAGTTCAGGTCCTGGACTCAGTTGCCTTGGTCTGCATTACTGTCAACACATGGTCTCATCTGCCACCCCAGGAGGTACTCTTGCCAGAAGTGCCTCTCACAGAAAAGCACGTTCATGGCTTGTCATAGAGGGATAACATTGGTGTCTCATTTGTCAGGGTTGCTTCAGGTCCAGGCATTGCATTGTCAGAGAAAGTCAGGCAGGGAGACTTACATGCTTAGAGAGAATAGTTAGGCATTGCCTGGACCCAGTGATACTTGTTGATGGTGTTGGTAGATAATGATTATCAAGAGGGGCTTCATCAATGTTCAACACTGCCATTCCCAAGGATCTCTATGCCTCATTCTTCCTCTTAGACACATGTTGTTACGTTGTTAGGTCATCCTGGTTTTTTTTATTTATTTCCCTCCTCCACCTCTTTCTGTGCCAGGTGGGATGCTGGAGGGTGTTTTCAGTGTGTTCACCTGTCAGTATTTCCCCCACGCCCTCTAATGAAAAGCAGTTGCCAAGCACTTTTTTTCATGTCTGTACATGGTCTGCCCTCCCTGGCTCATATCACTTACTGGTGTTTCCATTCATGACACCCATGAGGGGAGATACATTCAATAAAAACAATTTTTCATTTCATGACTCTGCCTACTTTCATCACAGCCTTGCTCTGCACAGTTTTACTTTCTTCCCTTATGAATCAGACAAATATGTCATATGTAGCAGATATTTGGTACATAATGTATGGAATTTGGTACACATCACTTAAAGCCCACAAGTGATTATTTAATCCCTTTTTGTGGGCTTCAGATTTTAAATTAGATGAAAATTTTTTTTGGAATTGGTTTCTGTGATATCTTTCTGCAGTTGAATATTAGTGCATATATATAAAATTTAAATTCATTAGGTTTGTCACTTAAGTAAGAGATTAATTTTATAAATTTGCTGAAAATGACAATTGTTATAATTTTTCATACTGAAAAATAATAATAAATTACCAGAAGTACATATCAAACTGTATAATGGTATCTCAGGTTTTTTTATATTTATATTTTGTCATGTAGTTAAAGGGGTAGGTGATATTAAATGAATCTATCAGCAGATGCTTTTGATGGAACAAGATGATCTTCAAGCCTACAATCTGTTTCCTGGGTTTAGGGGCATGACCCCACAGGATTCCAACTCATTAAGTTGATGGCTATGTCCAACATGGAAATTGAGTATGATGTCATTATTACTTCCTCACAAATGGATTGAGAAATTGCTTTTGATGGAATGGGCAAATGTGCTCTGGGAGGTGGAATTCCATACAGGAATTACGGCACGCTTTGGAGTTCCTCATGTTCCTACAGCTCATATTTGGAGACAACCTCTATTAGGATCATGGGATGTAAGTGTGCATTACATCTACTTCCATGGATACATCATAGAACAGTATAGCCATTTAATGTGAATTTTACAAACTGCAGAGATAATACTGCCCCACATGTTGCAGAATTCCATCAGCAGCCAATGTTCAATATATTCAGATGTCCTATTGGAAAAACCATGTCATGTGCGTCATGGTGATATATGCACCCTTTCGTCCCAGACACCCTCTTGCACCGGGACAACGGGAATTCCAGAAGATAATAAAAACGAAATTGTTCACAATGGCACTCTGGGGTGAGATTGCCACCCTTTCCACACTGCTCCTCTTTATTGATCCCCAGAGAAGAGCCATAAATGCAGCTATATGTGAAGACTACACCAACTGTTCAATAAGTTCCTCAATGCTCTGGCCCTCAAGCCCAGAGCAGGAAAAAATGGAGTGACAGAGTCACCGGCAAAAACGTTCAAAGAATAAGCTGTGCACACACACCTATAAATCACTCCCTAAAGCTGACTTCTGAATTGAATATAATATATATCTGAATATAATAAATTCCCCCCATCCCATTCCACCTTTAAAGTGATCATATTTCAGAGTTCATTCTCTTTCTATATTTAGAGCTTTTAGATATCCAATAAATAAATATTGACTTCAGCATTTTGTAAATAATCTACATAAGCATATTATCAAATTCCAATTATATGATGAGACCAGAAATCAGGTGCATTCATGATTGAAGAAATTGACTAACTCCTCCACACAGATTCTCATTTTAAAAAAATTTCAAGTTGGAACATCCTACCGACAAGTCCATGAAGTTTTCTGACTGAAACCCTTTCCTTTTTACATAATGAGGTCTTCCTAGAGCCAACACAAACATCTTTCAGAATACAACGTTGATACGACTTTTGCATTTGTAACATGCAACCTATGGTAGGGAGACAGGTGAACCTGGGCAGACCAACATTACATAGCTCAAAAGAAACATTCTGGGGCCTTTTGTTTTGGCCCATGAGGTCATTGACCTTAGCCTCAGTATACATTTGACCAGGTAGGGCCAAGGTGTTTGTAAAAGTCAAACTTTAGGCCTAAGCATACCGAATCCGACGCAGAGCTGAACTTGACTGCGATTGAGCACTGGTTTGGCAACAGAAAACTGCTTCTCGCGGCGATTCCAAGCTTGAACACGCGTTACGGCCGGCCTGAAGGCCACCACATGCACTACAGCGATAGCGCGCAGCTGCAGACGACCACGCTGCTCTGCAACTGGCAGAGCAGGATTGAGTCCCTATTGGTTCTCCTCGGTCCAGTCTGAGAGCGGTGAGACCTGCAGGATGCAGCTGGGGCAGGGGCGGGGACGAAGGTCGATCTAAAGTTGGGCAACCCGTTATCGTGGTTTCATTGCTGAGACCGTACAGTGATTGCAAGAATCTATTCTTACTGAAGGGTGTTCATAAAGAAGAGCAAGTTAATTTTTTATTATTTAGTTTTCATGTTTACAGAATTGTTTGTTCGTGAGCATTCATTTCACTTTAAGGAAGTTGAAAATGTGCTCAGTTCATTCCTCAGCAGTTTCGTGCGATTGTGCATGGATGAGAAAACACGGCTCAACATTTCAGGCGAAGTGGCATCCGCCTCCAGGCAAATGTTGGCTTCTTAGAGGTCTTCCAGGCGGTTATTATGATCCTACATTTCCTGACCCTCCCGAATAAAAAAGGTCAGGACGGGTTGAACCCAGGACTGGCAAGGTCTCATGATGATGACATGTTCACCAAAGAACAAATTCACCTGCTTCTTTAATGGTACATTCGAGACAGGGGGGGGGGTGTTTCACAGTTCACCAAAAATTTAATAGATGGCGCTACTGTACATCCGCCAGCGCCTGCCTATGAATTTTTGGAATACTATAAAAAGAACTATTAGAACCATGTTAAAGGTGGTATTACGTCATTGGCAATGCTGGAGGCAATCCTCACGTATCCAAATTCAAATAAATAAATAAAATTCTCTGGTTCGTAAGAGTTTAAGTGTTACAATGAGACAGCAATGTGGAACCCACTTGCCTGGGATGACTTGAGAATCAAAAATGATCCCACTTCTCCCTCTGTAGAAAAGGTGGAGGTGGTAGTGGAATGAGAAATAATTGAGTCACAGGGCCAGTATTCATTGTATGAAGGCAGTTGCTGTTTCAAATAACATGCCTAAGTCAGGAAGCCCTCAGAAGAGAAGATTGTATATATCAAGGGTGGCCAAGGGGATGTTTTCTAAGGTACTTTGTTTGCTGCATGCGGCTTGCAAGCCGCACTTTTGGCCACCCCTGATGTTCTTGGAAAGTCATGACTGATCACTCAAGTCTCCAGGTGCAATCCAGTATCAGAAGTCTGATGTACCGTGCTACTTTGGACAACTGTCATGTTTTGATGTTGCACATTCAAGTCCAGCATTGACCAAGGTGCCCCTTCTTAAAAATCCCAATTAGAGAGGCCTGAAATAGATCAGCAGAAACTCCATCTTCATTGAGAAAATTCAAGCTTCATCAGTGCAAATATTTAGCCAGCAATTTCTGAATCAGTGACCATCTCATAATTCAACAGGAAGGTCAAGCAATTTAGGAACATCAAAGATAACCAAACATATACTTCTTTCCATTGTCATGGAGGCATCCTATGACTCAAAGATATTTCATATGTTCTGTTCCATGCTACAGCAGCACACGATGAGCACATCACTGCGTCCCAAGATGAATTCAGCAAGTCATCTAACCTGCTTCTTTTATCAGGCAGCTTTGGCAGAATATTTGGGCAAAGCACTTTGTAGAATTCATAGATGGAGTTACTTCTCTAATTACTTCTCAATTGTCCTGCAAAGGGATAGAGGATGAAGGCAATTCAACAACAAGGAGCACATTAACGAATGCATTTCATTCAGGCAAAAATCAGAATATTCAGTGGACTGGGACCGTTCCAATCACTGGTCAGAATTGAGACACACGGAGACAGAAGAAATCTCCCTGAAGATTTCCTCCTTTACTAGGTTATATAGAATAACAGCAAGGCAAAGGGGGTGGACATCCATCAATTGCTTACACGATGAAAGAAAACGTGAAACGAAAATAGTGCCATGTATAGAGATATATATCATATTCATAAAGTTCCTCTCTTCTGTTTCTGAAGAAATTTGTACCACACAGTGTCCTGCAAATCACATTGCAGACAGTGACTAGGGGTGAATCGAGTATTCCAAAGATGTGTTTGGAGGGAAAAAGTAAGGTGGGGGAGAACTACACAAAGGGACAGGCATTTCACACAAGTCAAGGACAAAAAAAAATAGTGAGGACATATTCTGGTGATGTGTGAAGATGGAAAGAATACTTTCTGGGTTGCTGTTTGTCACCTCATTCATGGAATGAGGGGATGGGCCTCACCCCACTTCACACTCGTTCACCAAGGAGGCTGATTGGTGTCTCACATGAGGCGCTGGCGCTTGCTGCTATGGTTGAGATCAGTTGAATTGAGGTGGTTAACAGGTGCACCGGTCCCAGGCACGTTGATCCCCGAGGCATATGATGTTCCAGGCTCATGCTCAGTGTTGCTGCGATTTTCTGACTCGTTCCCACTAGCACTTCCACCTCCACCAATGAACTGAAATATCACATACAACCACTGGGAGTAAAACCTGGAGCATCTACTCATCCTTTCAAATTTTATGTCCAGAGTAAAGAACATACTATTCTTTTAAATTTAAAATTCAATTCATTTTTCATATGAGAGAAAAATCCTGGGATGAATAACTCTGAATATACAATGGAAAGCAGAGAGAAAAGTTGCTATGAATTCTAAGAAACTATTCAAGTGGTCTCTTCAAGCTCATGTGAAGTCCATGAACAAGATCTGAGCACATAGGAAACCAGGGCCCACAAACAATGAATATGTGCTTTTGTTTTTTGACCATGTGATTATGTCACAGCACATCATAGCCAATAAATACAGTGTAGAGGAACCAATACAGCAATAAAACAAAATCATGCCAACTAATTTTCTTGCTGACACATTCACAGTTAACATGACAGAGGAATCTATTAGGAGAATCAAGGCCTCCTGGGACAGACAGATAAGTTTAAGTCACATTTAAGGAGTTGGGATCAAGACTTTCACTTTTTGGGAAATACGGTTCACATTTGGAATAACACTAAGGCATCCCGCTCTAGAACAAAGGAACAGTGACAGTGACAGCTTGTATATGCAGCAGAAGTGATTTTCAGTGGAGACAGAGGAGGCTGGCCACCCCTGCCTCCACTGAAGAACTACTACTGCTGAGTGGGTATCCTTTCCTGCCCTTATGGATAAGGTCTTCCATTTCACTACCCTCAAGGAATATTCCAGAAAAGGGAAATAGATCAAGAAGCATGAGACTTTTCCTAAGGGTACACAAGATGGTCATTATCTCCCAATAACAGACTGCCTCTTTGCAAGATGCTCTACATAAGGCAGCTTGAGAGAAATCTCACCTGTCCCATAACAGCAATGGAGGTCTGGCCAGTTGCTTGAGCAATCTTGTTCTCAATCAAGTAGAACATATACTCATCATAAAGGAGGCGGATGAGGTGGAAAGACCCAAAACTGGCTGCACTACGCAGGGTCAAATCCCGAATCACCATTGAGCTGGAAATAGACAATGAAAGCCACTATGTGAAAACAAAGCAGTGGGGAGCAAACAATGCAGAACTTTAAGATCAACACCACTGGATTACTGTTGACCTCATACAAATGGGAAAAGACTTCTTCAGAGCCCAAAACATGAACAGAAACCACATATGCATGGATTCAGAAGTGAGGTCCATCTGCATCCCTGTTCCAAAGAACACTTGTTTAAGAGCTGCCAGCAAAATCTGAGGTATTCCTGTTACATAGAATTCAATCAAATATCTCTGACTGATGAAAATTTTGTGGAATGAACCTCATAATATTAAAAAAAGGCCAGAATATGAGAGGGCAGAAGCAAAGATTGAGGTAAAGATTACCTGTAGAAGGACCACTTGAGGAGGAACTGTCGGGCAGCATGAGGAAGCCGTGGGGGACGGACATCGCCAAGGATCCTCTCAACGACGGTGTTCAACCATGAGGCCCAATGCTCAAGGTCTGGCTGATCCTGCAGTGTTGCCTTGAAGTACTCCTGGATGCTGTCCACAAGACCCTCCTCACAGTCACACACCTGCCATAAAATCAGCAAACTCACATTTTTCTCACATCAAGGAACTTGATATTCAAACCATAAATTTAAGCAAGTGCTTGTCTTTGGATGAGCCCTTCATCTTGTACCAAATGGTTAACATGTACATGTGTACATTAACAATCACCTCAGAACTCAGCTCTTATGGGAAAAAATGCTAAATAGGAAGTCTTTTTCATGAGTGCCTATACAACTATCACAACCTTGCTTTAATTAAAGGAGTGTTCTCACCAGATGATATGACAAAATGCAAGGTGGCTTCTCCAATGAAGCATGGTGCAATCAAACTACTGTAACTTGAATTTTTTGCATGCTGACTTAGAAAGAGAAAGAAAGTCCTACCCATGAGGCCTGTTCTTGGACATGATGGAAATCCACCCGGTTCAAATCAGCCAGCATTTGCTGGATCTGCTGGGAATTGTGCAGCACAGCTCGAGCAGCCTGGGCCAGATGATTGAGGGACGTGTAACGACGGAGCATCTGAGCAAATGCACTCACGGCACATACCTGAGACAATACCATCACTTTCAACATATTGCACGAATCTGATGAGAGGAATATCACAGAGAGAAAACACAAGAACAATCTCTACCTTGACATGGACAACATCAGGTGGTGCATTCTCCATTGCAGATGTCAGCCAGCCTTCCAAGCCCTTTGCAAAATTTCGGATTGCCTGTGTCAGGGTACCTGAGGAGAGGAAAGAGCACAGTAGAGTACATTGAAAGGCCAGAAACTTGGGTACCACTCAATATTTAACTTTGATCTATATCCAGCCTGGCTTCCAAAATTTCTAAGTAGATCTGAGAAGTTGGTTCCACAAGTAGAGCAATTTTGTTAAAGTCATGTAATGGTTTTGTTTTCCTCTGAAATAGAAGGGGTACCTTTGTGAATTAGATTTCATTTAAGACTTTACATTGGAGCATTAGTTTCAAAGTTTGAGACGAAAATCAAAATTTTGCTGACACCAATATCTGGAATACCAATCTGGAATGCCATATCTTAACATGCCTAATAATATCATGGCATCTATACAATAAATTATTTTGCTCAGAACTAAAAATGAATGTGAATGGGACCTACTTGGAATGGGTCGCAGGACTTCTGGGATGAGAAGATCCACAAGGCCTTGGTAGAAGTTATAGTCTGCAGTCTGAATGAAGGTGAGGACGGGTCGCAGCTCACAAAGGCGTAGGATCCTATCTTGGTTCAGGGGGCGCTCCTCTGTGAAAGAGGAATTTGAGTTGTTTCCATTGTGCTGAGGACCACTGTTGCTCCCACCATCACCATCCCCTCCTTGCCAAAAGCTTCTCCAAAGTCCTTCCACCGTGCTGAACTGAAGCTTCACCACTGCATTCAGGATGCTCTGAGGATAAGGTATCACTTAAATACATTTGTGTCCAGCCATCATAGCATGCATGGTTCTATTAGCACTCCAATCAAGCTGATGAGTTGCCACATGTAATCATTGTAAGGCTGCAAATATACGAGGGGAAGCTGAAAAGTTTGAGACTTTTCCTAGAAGAAAACACAAATTTGGTAAACTGAATCAATTTTATTCAACATAGTCACCCCTCAACTGTACACACTTGTTACAATGTTCCTCCAATTTTTGCAATCCCTGCAAAAAGAACTCCTTAGGTTGGTCCGCGAACCAGATCTCTGCGGCACCAATGACCTCCTGATCGGAATGGGGCGAGGTCCGGCGAATAGGCCGGGTGGTCCAACAATTCGAACCCCAAATCCTTGATTTTCTGCGTGGTTTGGTGGGCGGTGTGGGCAGGCGCGTTGTCTTGCAGAAAGAGCACCCCCCGACTCAACTTCCCCCGCCGTTTTTCCTTCAGAGCTTCTCGCAATTCATCTAATAGGGACATGTAGTAGGTGGCGTTGATCCCCTGGCCCTTCAGCAGGTACTTTATCAAGATGACACCGTCCTTGTCCCAGAACACGGAAGCCATGATTTTTCCGCCCGATTTCTGAACGCTGAACTTCTTCGGCCGAGGAGAGCCGCTATGGCGCCATTCTTTGGATCGTTCCTTCGTCTGGGGATCATAATGGTGGAGCCACATTTCATCCATGGTCACCAACCTGGCCACAAAGTCTTCAGCACCAGCGTGGAACCGCGCCAAAATGGCTTGGGAGGCGATCACGTGATTCCGCTTCTGGTTTGCATTGAGGAATTTCGGAATCCATTTCGTAGACAGCTTTCGCATGTTGAGGATGTTATGGATGACATGGGAAACCCTTTCCCGGGAAATCTGCTAGATTTCGACAATCTTCTTGATGGAAATGCGGTGGTCTTTGAGGATCAGATCATGGATTTAATCCATATTTTCATCTGTCGCTGCCGAAACGGGCCGTCCAGAGCGTGGCTCATCTGTTACCTTGAAATGGCCAGTTCGGAAACGTGCCACCCATTTCTTCACCATTGTGAGGGAAGGGCAGTCCTCCTCTAGAGTCGCCAGCATCTCAGAGTGAATCTCTTGCACTCGTTTCCCTTGCAGGAACAAGAACTTCATGACCATGCGCTTGTCGATGTTGCTGAATTCCGGTCTTGACGCCGCCATCATGAGTTCAAACTGCCGAAGGAAGCAAACTAACGGTCGTACCGGACTCTCACAGCGTGTGCGCTCTAGCAATGACCCCCCCCTCCCTACATCCCTCGTGGCATGGCTTTTGCTCTCTTGCGTCTGGGTAAAGTCGCGAACTTTTCAGCACCCCTCCGTATATCAAAATGCAATAGATTATATCATGAAACTTTTTATCAATTGATATGTTGATTCATTTAAACTAGCCCATTCTATCCTCCCTGAATGAGATAAATGGCAAGATTATTTATTTAACATTCCAAGTTCAAATTCTAAGCAGTCACTGCTCTTTTCCATTGCTCCATTACATGCAAAAATTTGGGTCAGTGTGAATGAATGGATTTTTGGTATTGGCCATGAAATGGCACTTAGGGAAGATGTGAGTGATTATTAAAATTAGATTAATTTACAAAATTGATAGATAAAATTGTTTGATTAATCTAATCAAAGGCACAGCCATAGTTTACTTTCACATGAAGATCCTGCTTGACTTCCTCTCTTCTGAGAGAGGTTTTTGTCATTGCTTGCAACTGCCCCAGTAAGTCTACTTCTATCACTTTTTCTTTCCTTTTCCCCCAATTATTGATATAGATTTATGGAAAGGAGAAGAGAGGAGAAAAAGAAAACACAAGCAAGGAGTGACTCACCTCACAATGCTCCTCGTACAAGGCCCTGAAAGCCTCAACATCTTCCAATGTGAGATCTCCAGGCAAGGTGTCAGAAGGGTCAAACTCAATCTCAGGAAATGGTGGTAGTGCCACAGATGGGTCACCCAAGTACTGGTTGTGCTGGCTTTGACCCTGCTGCAACACACACATGATCACATTAGAACAAAAAAGACCCCATAACAAAATGACAATTAAACAAGGCTTTCCTTCAGTATTCTCATGCAGTTTAGCTGAGTGAACAAGAAAGAGACTGAATATTCATCTGAACTCTAATTCCAGAATGCCTCCTGAACCTGCATAAGATGGATTGGGAGAAGACATTTTTTCATGCTGGCATAATACCAAAAAAGATCAGGTATGTATGTCAGTGTGATGTTCAGTTGTGTTCGGTAACCACACAAGATGCCATTGTGCAGTTAGAAAAGATGGAGACCATAATGGAAATGAGCCTGGAGTCATGAGAACATAGCCAGTGTTTGGCAGCATATACATGAGCCAAATATACATGTATTGGGGAAGTGAGTTAAGGAGTTCAAGAATGGAGAAACAAGAGCTGTTGATTCCAACAAACCATCAGAGACATCATCCCCATGTAACATCAGGCTTCAGTAAGAATTGACATTGGGTAAATAAATGAATGCCTATTTGCCAGATTTATGATAATGTGGGCATAGGACTTGGAACAGTACACTTCACTGTCCATGATGAACTTAATTCTCAGTAGGTGTATGAACAATGGGTCCCAAAATGCTGATACAGAGACATGAAGACTCATGAATAAAAGCATGCTCAGAGCTTTACCAACAGAATTAAAATAAAGGGGATGGGTTTCTCAGGCATATAATCACTTGTGTAATACATGGAACAATCATCATAGGCTAGAGAGCAGACAATGTCATGAGTGGAGACACCCCAAATCCCAGGCAAAAAAAAGTTCATGATTCAAGCACAACTTTAAGGAATGTGTAGGGTCGTGTTTTGACAGCCTTTCCAAAGAACTGAGAAACAGCCCTCAGCACCTTGTGCTGTTATCTGTTACTCCAGTTAAAAGCAGCATTCAAAGCAAAGAGATGCAGGTGACTGAGCAGTCAAGGGCATTTTACTGCAACATTATAATGTCCATACAGACACCCCCATCCAACAGGTGCAAGACTCACACTGGGAGGTGTCCCCAACTTCCCTGTATAGTTTGGACCTAACCCCTTCTGCCCTCCGTATGTTTGGCCCACTTTAAGGATGCCATCTGTGGTTGAATATTCGCCCATGAGGAAGTGAAACAGATGGTGCAAGAGCACCTATGGGGAGATACCAAAAGACTTCTATGCTGCAGGAATCATGAATTTAGTATATCACGGGGGACGGACAAATAGTCAGTGTTGCTGGAGATTATCAACTAAAGTAACAGCTAATGTTTTGTTGCTATATTGCGTATAGGCTGGTATACAATTAAGTGTCTTAACTTTCTAATGTACCCTGGTATTCTGTTGAGCCAGTCAAATTTCTCTTTCCACTCATTGTCAAAAGAAAATTTGGAATGAAGATATAGTGCCAGTACTTTTGAGTCCTTGCAAGTGGAAATCATGCATGCCCACTCAACAGTGCAAACACTAGGCTTAGCCCTTCCAGTTTCACAGCAGCTATTTCTTCATAAATACCATACAATCATGTGCTTATATCAGGCACTGAGTTGCAAAATTCAGTACCTTAAAAGAACTAGTACTTGAGCCACTTTCTTCATACATTATATTAACAAGCACATGAATCTCAGATATATGCAAATGGGCACTGGTGTCTGTAGACGTAAAAACCAGATATGAATTCTAACAGCAAGTCAAAGCACTATTCTCTTCTTCTTTGCCATTGCAATCTGGCAAAATAACCATAAAAGACTGGCCAGTTCAGGTGAGACCAGTAAGCTACAGTGGTGTATTCAGGATTTAGGAGGGGTGTTTGCATCAGGGCAGTTAAATAAAGTGGTGCAACAGGACTGACAAGTAGAGGGGTGAGAGTTGCCAGCTCATGAGGGAAGCTCAAGCCCCTAAAGGCTCCCCTTGCACATGACACTGGCAAACTCTGCAACATTCTGAAAATGGTCTCAATTTTGATAGAGTTGCTAATAGTACAAACCATGGGTGATGTATCAGAGGCACTAGGTGCTGAGGCAGATGATGAAGTGGGGGGATTGGTGGCTGCTGCCGAATGTGTGGAGGGTCCCCCTTCATCTTCAGAAACACTCCCCTTGGAGCCCCCCTTCTTCCCTCCTCCATCCCCTCTCAATTCGCCCTCACTCACTCCTGGTCCCAAGTGGTTCAGGGATGATGTTGGTTTCAGACGAATCCCATAATAATGGTACTTGGAATTTCCTCTGCAACAAAGTGAATTCAGTAATGACATTTTTACTCTGGGGGAAATGGGATGGGAAATCCAGTCCTGCATGCCCATTGGAATGGTAGTGAATGCCTCTTTCTTGCTCTTTGGTATGCCTCATGAATTTTCACATTAGGGTAAGAACAAAACTCATCCCATCACAGCACAATAAGCTCGAATCTGGTTGGCCTCAGTCTAGCCTTCAAGCAGTTAGAGAAACAATGTATCCTGAATTCTTCATGCACTTTAGGCCTGAATGTTGTAAGGTTCAATGATTGAACAGAAACTAAAAATTCAGATGTTGTTTGATAACAAAAAGTAGGGTAAGTCTAAGCTATAGCTTTGAACAAAACACCCAGTCAGTGAAGCTTTTACATGTAAGATTGGAAAGGTCATTCAATTAATACATAAGCCTTGGATCACTTGTGGCTCAAATAAAACGACTATGCACCAAGAGGCTTCAGTTGCTCTTTGTTAGTTCAGGTGTAAAGATGGAAGGAAAAGGAGATGAACCTGGTCCCAAGTCGTCGCGTTCGGAGCCCAAGAAACACAGAGCGGATGAGCTTCCCAAAGCTGGCAGCATTCACAGGATCCAGTTTGTGCTGAGCGCAGTGCCTGAGGTAGTGATTGTAGAGGGTAGAGCGGGGAAGGCTCACCCCTTCTGCTGTCTCATAGTTCTCTACCAGCCACTGAACCTGGAAGTGTGCATGAGGATGAAGTGCATTATTTGAATTTCCTCAGATGGAGGATCGAAACAATCTCTTGTTGGAATCGCATAAGCAAAATCAAATCTCTGCACTGCAAACGTGCAAAGTGAACTGCAGCATGCCCCTGAGGCCATGGGGAAGACCAAAAGAGGAAAACAAAAACCAGCCAAATAAGCATAAGTCCCACATTGAATGGGCAATGGGTGTGAATGTACTAAATCATGACATAAAAAGCAAAAGGAATGCTGATATGCTACCTGCATCCTTGGCAATGGAAGAAACTCCCAAACTTAGCCTCACCAACAAGATTATACCATAATCAATCACATACTCAAAACTGTATCTCAAACTGATACCATATCAGATGATGTAAGGTATAAACAGTGAAGGAATTCTTGGATATACTGGCATACATACACTCACACACCCACACACTCCAAGGTGAAAGGGAGGAAGGCACACGTGAGAAGGGCAAGGGAATAGTTTTGGGGTGGGATTTTACCAAGGAAGGACGTATGTTGCTTGACAGAGGGGTTTTCCTGAACTGGGGACACTGTTTCAACATCTGCTGTCAGGAAGGAGACAGGGAAATCACGCATTTGGTGAGAGTTGATGACATGTATGACATGACATGAGATGAATGTATGATGGCTTTGTCATAAGTGCTCTGCAGCTGAGAATGGCTTCTGTTATTTGCACCAAGTTTCTTTGACTAAGAGGGATGAAAAAAGGGAGTATTGTGTTGCTTTGGTGTATGTCTTTGGACAGATTCCATTCTCAACTGAAGAACACCTACAGTGGGGCTCACCAATTGCATAAGCAATCAAGCATAAGCCTACTTTATCCACTAGGGCTGAAGAGATTCACTATCTACACAGAAAATGGTTCAGAATTAGCTAAATTCCTCCTTAATGATTACAGTATGGACTTACAGACACAAGCACAAACACAAACATGAACACATTCATTGAGACTTTCAATGGAGTATTATTGATTTCCATTTTTTAAAAAAAATCACTGTAAATCACACTTTCCTTCCCACACTTTTTGAAAACCAAGATTACCCACCTTTACATTTATTGATGACAGCCTTCAATCACAAAGACTGCCATTTTGTCAGAAGATGAAAAGCAAAGGCAAGAGACAGAGAAAGAAAGAAAAGAAAAAGAAACACTCACAGTAACAGGAGAGACACGAGTGGCATGAGCAAGGCTATGCTGGGAATCAGCTTCTAGAGGACCTGAGCCAGCGTCACTGCCTCCAGCATTAGCATCACTGCTAGCTGCCACCACATAAGATGCAACTCCCACTCCATCCTGTGAAGCCACCAAGCAAGCAAGCCAGCCAAGCCTTAGCAAGATCCTCAGCATTATTATACACAGGAGAAGGTGGAACAGCAAGGGTTGGTTCTACCAAAGGGCCATGAGATCAAGCAAGAGAACAAGTTGCTAATAAGGATCAACCCACCATCTGCGGGGAATGTCGGGCACTTGTGCTGTTGATCACAGCAGAAGGGTCAGTCTGGATTAGGTATGCTGTCGGGGCACTTGTATTGGCCCCCAAAACCCCTCCACCATTCCCTGCTCCACCCTAAACAAGGCATAAAGGTCACTCTCCCATAAATACAGCTTACCCAAAAGCTATACACACTTTCTATCAAAAGTTAATATTTCATAGAATAGCATGAGAGCAAAATTATAAACATGTCTGCAAGCAGGCAAGTTACAGCACCATTGACTTTTTGTAATGATATCCACAAGTCCCAACTGGTTCTTTTTGAGGGGCATTCCACAAACTCGTGGCAATCTCCAGCTACATTTGTTGCTTGTCAGTGTGGACAATTTGACAGCCTCTTTAACAAATTGACCACCTTCACAAACCTGCTGAAATGCTGCACCAGATGCAGTGCTGTTTGTGTAATAAGTAGTCCCACCGTTGTAGATTGTGTCTGCAACTGTGTAGACTGGATAGGCCCTGAAAAGAGAGCAAACAGTTGCACCACATAACCAAGGGATGCAGCAGGAAAAGAAAAACCCACATCAAGACACATACATGATCATGGACAGAGGTAGTAAGAAAATATCTGTAGTTAATTCCATTACAGAAACCCAGTTAATATTGGCAAACTCCCAGTTCTGAGGTCTCCAGCAGACATGCAATTACTACCAAAAGACCAGCATTCCCATGCACAAATTTAAATTCATCTGCATCCTCACCTTGAGAGCTAATTGATGCTTGCATGCAGGCCAAATAAATATAGAGCTGAGAGCTTTATGTGGGGATGCAATAATGAAACTATTCCCCAACCTGTAGAGCACTTGACCCTTTGGTAAGAAGGAAGGTGCATAGCCACAAGACACTATATCCCACTTACTAGACATAGAGTGTGCACAAACACCAATGCACTCTTGTGAAAAGTGTGGAAGGATGGAAGTCTAGCGAGGAAGGATGCAGTGATGATGAAAATACATACTTGCTACTTTGGTTATGAAACACATTAATGTAAGCAAATAAAACCCAATATGGTTTAATACATACATGGGTCCATATTGGTGCACTCACACCTTAGTAGAATGAAATTACTTCTCTGAGCAAGTTCTGATGATGCAATTCCCTGGAAACTGAAGATAACCTGATCTGGAGTCACTGAGCACTGGAAGGTGAAACTCACGAAAATGTTACCCTACCTTTGGCTAATAGGCCCCAAAGAATGTCTAGTAGTTGATGCAGGCCTTAGCCACTGACAAGTCTTCTTTGCTGCATGCACTCTTGATTTGAGAAGCCTAGCAACCAAGGAAATAATGGAGCACCTGAAGCAGTGGAAATCTGCTTCCAGCATCATGTCACACAACATACTGAGTTTGTCCTAATTCAAAAATGATGGAATTGAATCCAATGTAAATGTAAATATAAAAAAGTGAACAGTCTACAAGTAGGAGAAAACAACAGAGAGACTGTAAGGAGAAGTGTAACAGTGGAATGTACTATGCAAGGTGAGGGTGCAGAGAGTCTAGTCAAAGCAGATGCCCTTAGTATGTTACCTTTCATCCTTAGCTTCCTCCATAGTTTGTGCACAATTACAACTATGATCTACCAGCACACTTCCACTCCCCATGGAACTTTCCCTTTGTGTTCATGACATTTAATTTCTGGTTATCAAAAGTTAGTCTAGGGAATTTGCAATCACAGTCTTAATTGCTAGCAATGACTATTCAACATTTCATACTAATGTTTCATTGATGCATCAAATGGTTGATGAGAATAAGCCTTCTTTTTTTCCCCAAGTAGCATAACTGAAATTAGCACTATCACACCATGGCATATAATAGAAGGCCAATAATGCAGGTTTCTAGATTAGACTTGAAGTTCTCAATGACCAGTCAGAGGCATTTTACATTCTTCTTATTTCAAATAATTAACCAGTTATTAACACATTAACTATCATGTGACATGGCAGCATGCCACATGGGGCCACATGGAAAGCTAGTTTATTATGCTAAATATTATTTTGCCAGTTCATCCAAGCACCATTGATAGTTTGGATTGATGCTTAGATGCCTTCAAATCTGCAATTGTACAGTCCCAGTTATGATGCCAAAAATAATAACTAATCACTACTAAGAAATATATTTAAAGCATGATGATAGAAATCACAAAAGCATATTGATATAATGCTTCCTCCTCCACAAGTGCCCCCTGAATGATAAGGGGAAGAGGGCGAAAGGATTATCACTTCCTCCAGGCAATCCAATTGACACTCTGTATGCATACTCTACCCCCTGAAATATTTTCCTTCCCTATTTGCCCCTTCAACACCCTTCCTGTTTGCACCCTTTCAGAGTCAGTTTACCTACTTCAGAAATTTCCTTTGGTGAGAGGGGACACAATATCTAATGAAAGTGGCAATGCATACCCATACCAGTATCCATATCAAATGGGAAAGCCACCCCACATGGCAGAATTTCTTCCTTTTCATCAGTTGGCAGATTAGTAAGCCCTTTTCATGAGGCATTCTGGCATGCACAATTCATGCAAAGCAAGATGGAGTGGTATCAGTTAGTAATGGTTAGTAAAAATTACATTTGGCCGTTAGTAGAGGCGTAGAGGGAGTTTGGATCCGTACTGCTGTCAACATACTGAACATAAGGTGTAGCATCTCCTGGTGCCGCCTCTCCTTCCGACACTGCAACAACAAGAGGAATGCAATGATGAGATTCTGAAGATAGTATTTGCACAACTTGAAAACATATCTTGGAAAGCTCTTTCAAATACATTCCTGGCAATAAAAGTAATTTCTCCCTCACCTGGAAGTCCATATGAATAAGAAGTCATATACTGTTACTATACCGTAGTTCAGAGTCTTATTTTCTAGTATGACAAAGTTAACAGTGAAGAAAAACACTATACAACGGGTAATCAATAAGTTCCGGGACTTAATTTTTTAATGACGCTGTGGTGACTCTTTCCAACTACTTATGATTATATCCTTCAAACTAGTCCTCTTTGGCATCTATACAAATTTTCCGGTGATTCTTCTGCCGCTGGAAACATTGCTGGCACATATATTTTGGAGTCACCAGCAGTGCTCGCGTTGCGTTTACAATTTTGCTTTGAATGCCTGATATCTCCTTCATTTCAGCAAACTCTAGCTTAGGGAACAAGAATAAATTACTAGGAACTGAGTCTGGTGAGTTGGATGGCTTATGAAGCACGGGGTAGGTAGATCAGACGCAGGTCAGAAACCGCTGAAACTGAAAAAGGAAGGAAATTTCAGGATATTTAAAGAAGCGTTATGAATGCGCCACGAGCGCCGCTGATGATTCCCAAAGACGAGTGTGAGCAATGATTCCAGCGGCTGAAGAAACCAAAATCTATGTAGATACCAAAGAGGGCTACTTTGAAGGAAGTATCAGTAGTCGGAAAGAGTCCCCATAGCATCATAAAAAATTCAGTCCCGGAACCTTTTCACCTCTTGTACTTTCAAAAACCCTCGTAAAGTGGGATCCCAAATGTACAAGATTTGATAGGACTTCAAGATGCTCCCATTAAAAATGTAGGAGAGGTGACTCTGTGAGGACTGGACTGAATTCCGCAAGCTGCTAGAATCCTCACATCAAGACCCTCCAACACAATGCGCTATATATCCCTTTCACGCATGGTGTCCACAGCAGCGGACGGCAAAATATTTGGCGTCGATGATGGGTTTTCTGCCAAGATACACATATATCAAAACTTTTGGTGGAGGCAGTCAATTCAAGAGCACATAATCTGTTCAATGTTGTTTCCTAGTGGTGAAACATTGGACTGCTACGGCAAAAGACCTCCTTAAACGTTAATTTTAAAAAAGGCATATTTTTATTTTGCTTTTTTATGCACGAAAGGGATATACTCTAATGGAATTATAGAACTTGTACAGTTACATTCAGCAGCTCAGTTGCTTCGCATGGTCAGACTTCTATTGATCCAGAACATGAGCCAAAATTATAACAAGACCCTCTCGCCTTGCAGAACATGTAGCAGGCCTGCAATGCTTGAATCACGTTAGACCACTAAAAGTATTTGACTCCTATTTCTGCTAGGCATGCTGAATAGCCTGTTCCTAATTTGCAACAAGGGCAATCCATGATACAGGAATAGCCATCGTCAAGCGTGAAATTATTAAGCAGAGGACTCGCTAGAGAAAATTGTATACAGCATATACTCCCCCTAAGGGGAGGGGGGAAAGCGGGCGGGATTCTCATGAAGACTGACTGATGTCTTTTGGAATGGTCAACTGAAAAATCTCATCTAAGAATGAGACTACATTCTTCAATCAATGTTCAATGTTTTTTTTTTATTTTCTGCATAAATGTCAGTTATTTAAATAAAATGCCTATCATCACTCAACTTCACCCTCGAGGTTTCTGCTCACAATTAGCTACGTCGAGGTCCAATTTGCGGGGCATGCCTCGACCCATTTCCCTTCTCTAGCACAATCCCCCACGCGCTGTTGGTCTCACAAACCTGGTACGTGTAGGCATATGAAACGGAACGCAAGGTTTTAACGTTTGGCCTGCTGAACCGAAAACCCACGTGTCTGCCACGCGCTCATGCACACCTGTTTCCTGCCGCACGGTGGCACGCGCGGGGCATCTGACGTCAATCATGAACAAGACGGCACGAGCGGGGATGATAATACCGATAGAGCGACGGCAGCGAGAGCATGCACTCGTCCTTTACTTCCGAATGACTGAATGCGGCTTTGCATCCGACCTCCTCGCCTGTGAAACGTTACATCAGCGCATACATACACTCGTACGGCCTTGATGCACTCCCAGATGCTTCCCATTCCCAGATGATCCCAGCTGCTCAGCTTCCTCCCCACCTGCTCACTTTTTGTTTTGATTTCCCGCCAGGCACGCTAATTTCCTCCGCTGATGAACATCAATCGGTCCATGGAAAAGCCGAGCCAACAACGGCCTCGCCCGAAAAGTGGCCCTCAGATACATCGAGGAGCGTAACTTGCATGCATCTTGAGTGCATGCTATTGACTTAAGATGCATGGCCTCTCAAGAGAGACAAACGCGACGGGATTACAATAATAAAAAGTCATCAATATGAGAAAGGAGTACACTATACTAGAGCGTAGCGGAATATCGGCATCAGCACCATATCGCTGTATCTCTCTTCTTATTCTTCTTTAATTATACCGACTCCTCGATGCTTCGATGCTATCGCCACAGTATGAGAACACTGGTACATGGTGTATACTCGTAATTACGCCTCCCATGAAAGCCGATTTGGATCTTTGCGACGTTCATACAAAGCTAATAATAGCAAACAAATTGCGTCTTGGAGGGGAAAACAATAGTACTCGGCTTCATACTCCAACATAATCCCCATATTTAACATGATCCTCCAGCGAAGGATGTATAAACGAGAATAGGAAAATCTCCGGCAGGCGAGTTACAAATGCAATCTTGCACCTGATGAGGGCCATCGGGCACCATGCGATGCGGCAGTCAGGCTTGGCAGACATTGCATCCAGGGGATATTGTCCCAAGGATGGCAACTAGTTAAAGACGTGCGGAGTGATTCGTTTTTCTGGTCGCAAAGAGAAACACAGGACAATAAAATTCACTCCAGAACCCCACAATGCAAATTCTCATTTACTTTCATAACTTGACTGACAGAGACCTTCCGGTTTTCATTTGCACTCCTCCCAGGGTTGCCAGATTTGGATAACGTCAAACCAGGAGGGCCTAAAGTAATTGTCCCGGTAGAGCCAAAGATGACTTAGTACAAGTCAAATGTACACATAGCGCATAAAATTAAGGTCTTCAAGTCGTCACGATGCATGTCTAATTCGATCATTCAGCCTCTCACAGTCGGAATTTCTAGAGGATCTGTTGGGACTAGTATTTTCGGCTTCACTAGGCTGCAGCTAACGGTCTTGTTGACACACGCATATTCCTTTTTTCTGATCTCAATACATATTTAAATTGTATATATTTCGCATAAATCCCAACACATTTAGTGCACTGGTCCAGCCACAAATGGACCTCGAATTAATTACATCAAACCCGGACATCTGGCAACCCTTCCCAGAGGAATCTCGCCCCGCCTCTGGAATGACGAGTATCTCAAAATGTAATCTACCGAGTGACCTACATACAGAATGGACGAATGTGCACAGGAACTGCTTTCCACACGTGACGGGTGGCAAATAACGCTAGCCGTGTCTGCATCCATGCAAAACCTATAAATAGGTAAGCCAAGGTAGAGCCTCGATTTCACTTTCCTCCTGTGTGAGATGGACACATCGCACTACCAGGAGCTCATAAACTTCCAGGGGTCGAAGAAAGAGATGGATTCTACGGATGTGACTGGAAGCACGATTGTGGGCATCATTGGACGTGCAATGCGAAAGATAAACATCGAGATAGTGTTGCCCCGTCAGAATCAAGTCTTCTTTCTCCCTTCTGTATCTTTTCATCAATCCCGCCCCTTACAACCCTTCCTCTTTTTCCTTTTATCACTTACGGCAATTCCCTATCTAGATCCATATTGAAATGTGGTTCTGGCTCTGACCTACATACATTCTTACTCTCTTTGCTTTTCTTTCCTTTCCCCCTCCCCCTATGACCTCTTCTGGATTATTTTCCTACTTTGAAATTTGTTCAAGTTCTTCCCGTCAAAGCCTAAATTTCCTCACTCCTGACGAAGAGTAATTTACTTCGAAACCTCGAGCCCATTCTATTTTCAAACAACCACTTGCATATCTTTCAACTTGTGACGGTGATTCAGCGAGGATCGCAGCTGGCCTCGTCTACGATTGTGGGAGCCAACACCAAGAAAAGAAAGCATTACGGGAACCTGAAGCCCATCAAATCAGTTGTGCAGGCTGGGTCATGACGCATTTGGTGTTATGTACGGCCCTGGTCAACCGAGTCTGACCAGACTTGTGGGATATTTCCGCTGTTCGAGTTGGAAAAAAAAAACACGTTATCGATTTCTGGGTACACCAGAATGCATATGCGTAGCGCAGATGGACAAAGGGGGGGGGGGGGCGGACAGTCGCGGAAACTCTCGGACACTATTCCCAGGCATTTTATGCGTCTTACTTTTGGTTCTTTTTCTGATAAGTAGGTAGCACGTGCCTCCCCGACACTACGCAGCTGCCAGAATGGACACCCCACTAATCCCTTCAATAACAGATTTAACTATATCAGGACACAGAATTAGTCCCATCTCCAAGGAAATCTGTCGGAGATTTGCCCCCCCCCCCCCCTCGTCACGATCCAACAGCCTTTCAATTACAACCCAACAACCCAGGGGCGAAATTACATGGGGGCGACAATGGAAAACACCCCGCCTCCTCTTCTCTGCCCACGGCATCTACATGCACCCATCAACCCAAGCCATCGGAACCGTACTCTCACGCGGGTACATGCTTATTCGAGGAGTATGCAAATGTATGCTGGGCGGACTGTGCACGTCATTATCAACATGCAGTCATCGATCCGCACTAAGACTACGAGAGAGGGTACGATAGCGGCACGAATGAGAGGAAAGGCAGGTGCGTGTGGCACGTGTTTATTTCCTTTCTAAGAGATGCGGCGAATACTTTGTTTCTAACTGAACTCACAGATACGCAATCAGCACGCAACCGCAACGGAAAACACCTTTTCATAACAGGTTTCCGTCGGCATCCGACTGCTCATCGAAAAATCCCCGTATGCGTACCGACAATTCTTTCCTCATATGCCCCACTGCACATTCATAAATATGACAGCGATCAATTCCTTCCCACGATTAACATGCACGTCCTCGACTTGTACCGATGACTTCCAATCCATCGTGACGTCCACGCGAATCGAACATTCTGATCGAGCAAATCGGTCCATAATAAATGATTCAGTGAGTCACTCTGATCCCATCATTTCGCAGCAGAACGATGAGACCGCCTTTGACGAATTGCGATCCTATCTACAGGATGAACCTTGGCATCGAACCCAACAGTCGCAGGAAGACGGAGGCGTGAGGACATAAGAACGTCACGACCCTGAGAACGAGAGGACGCAAGACACTACGCCGCATCGACAACGGGTTCGCTCTGGATCATGGCTCCCTACATTCCTCCAGTAGCTGGCAGCATTCCGCACGCCACTGACACGTGCAGCGGCTGACGCTCTCCATGCAATGGGGAAGCGGGAGTACCAGAGCATCGTGAGTTGCCATGCCACTCCGGATGATTCAGAGCTCATCAGGAAGCTCTTGAAGGTCTGAGTCAGATGCTGGCGATAAAGCTGTTTAACAAAGCGCTTCGAGTCATTTCGCATGCTGGATCTCACGATAAGTGCCCGTAGTGGGTGCAACAAACGCATCCTAGGGATTTCGTTTCTCAGATAGTGCGAGGAATAGGGAGACGAAATTGGCAGCTCGCGTTTCTGTGATACTTGATGAACAAAAGTTTTCCTTCGCGGAATGGCAACCTTGTTGACTCTGGATGAAAAACCAAAATAACAGCGAGGATGGAGCCAACGCCAACTCAAGCGGAGTTTCAGAAGCACTTCGAGAAGCTGACTGGCGGTTTTCTCAAAGAAAAGATCGCGAGAAGTCGGTACAACCTGGGTCGTTGCAAGCCTCAGTATGAACAAACTTATGGATGTGCCGTGTAGCCAGGTCCGATGGATGCTGCTTCTTCAAGTGCTTTTCATACTCCTGCTGGAAGGCCTCATGCAACTGTTGCTATGTCGCGTCAGACCGCAGCATATTTCATAGGCTCAGGAACGGGCCACATAACAGTCCAGATATAAAATGTGATAATACAGTTTCTGAGATCACTTTAGGATTTAGTTAACACAAAACGCAGCTTCTAGGATCTGCATATAAAGCTGATCTAAGAAAGATGCTCTCTCCCTGCGATTTTTGGACAAATCTATTGACCAAATATAGTAACGCTTGACAACCATTCTTCAAAATGGTGGCGGCCTTACTGAACACAATTTTCTTAGCTGATTTTGCCTGAGTTAAACAGTACAAAGATTCTTTTCAATGTATTCCAGCTCACTTTTTGTGAATAAGTTATTGAACGCACTTGGCACAAGCTCTTGGTTTGTTTCCTAGGTGCAACCCATAAAAGTTGTGCTTCAAAATAATCCTGGCTGGCTCTTTCACAAGATGAATACCATATAATAAATAAGATACCAGAGCTTGAAACAGAGGGAGATAGCATCTCACAGCCAACGAATTGGGCTTGATGCATTTCTACAAACTGTTTTTTTTTTTTTAAGGCCCAAGTAAAATATTTTGGTGAAATGAATTGAATAAGAAATCATTAGTGACTGGAGGTCATCCATGTCAAGCACTGCAAATAATACTCTCTTTTTTTTTAATCCAAAACATAGCATGGGGATAACTGGGATCAAAAAGTCATTCCTTTTGCTCTAGCACAACTATACCTGAAACTTTAGCCATGGACACTAAGGCAAATTTTCTTCAGAACAGATTTCTTTGTATTCATAGGTCTAAAACCCCGTGTCAAGCAAAAGGGGATATGCATTAGTCGAAAACAAGTCAAATGTATACCTATTCTGTTTTTCTTGATGTCAATGAAGGAAATAATTTTTGCCTGTTTACACATTGAACGTTATCTTTTTCAGATCTGCATGTAACTTGTAGACCTCTTTCCAAAATTGAGGAGCCATATAATAGCAAACTGGAGAAAAATCATATCGATTTTTTTTACAATCCCCTTTTCCCTGGTATGAATATCTCAAATGCATGCTGGCTACAGAAGAATAATGTGTGCAAAATAGTGACAACAACATGAAGAAGGGAGGCTATACTCAGCTTCAAGGACACTAACCAAATGGAGGAACCCAGTGACAATTCCAGTCACTGTAATTCATCACAACAAGACAGCATGTCTCAGGCCCACAGGGGAAACTGAGCAGATCACAGGTTGTGATGTATCAGGCTCCCAGATCACAAATGAGGCTTCCACAGGCAATCCCAGCTCTTGATATACTTTTCAATGGAGATTTTCTCCCTACTTCCTCTTCCCCATCACAGTCAAGGAGCACTGATTATCCCCAAATTACCTCTCATGGGAGTTCATCAGGTTCATCCCATAATTGCACCCTCTATTACTACCCACTCTTGTTGGACAACAGATAAAAAACTTCCAGGTATCAAACAAGCGTACCACGAAAAAGGCACAGTTCTACGTATGTGATCTTAATGATGGCCCATACCACTGGGATGCATCTTCAAGGAAATTTCTGGAAGATTATTTCAAGGAAGCTTTGCTATCACCATTATGTGAGCTTACATCTGAAGAGATAAAATTACTTCTTTGAAGTGAAACATCCTGGTTCTTCAATCTGGTCCAAAGCTGTCAAAACACTATTACATTTTACAGTCTTTTGTTGGGGCAAGGCCAAGTCATCACAACAGTACTTTTTAACCCTATGGCTGTTATAACACAGGGGGGATGGCTGATACGTTTTTGTATAAAAATTGGCTCTGCTTGTTTAAAAACAATAGTTTATGTAAGATAATTTCATATCATGATAGCTATTGAAGATAGCAGTTACAAGCATAAGTAGCTGTGAAGTAACCTAGAAACAGTGAATGTTCTGAGCCCGAGAACATACCCATGCTACCACTGCATAAGCGTACTCGGGCTAACAGCCAAAGGGTTAAGCTAAGTCACTAGAGCATCTGCAAGCATAAAATGCAGAATAAGAAATACCATATGGATAAAGATGTGTCATGTTGCAGCAAGGATCACTTGAAAATTATTCTGCATTGAAATGCAATCATGCTCATGAAATTGCCTGATGGACCACCTGATGGTCAGGTGAAGAAAATGACCAGAGATCATGATCATCACATAGAATTGCAAGTAGGCCTAAATTTTGTTTCAAAAATTAATTTCATTAACCTAAGAAACATAGATCGGGCTGAAACTAACCTACTATGTGCATAAACATATGTGACAAAGTATTGTGGAAGAAAAATGAAACTGGTGTGTTTGATCCATTTGCAGGCTGACAGGGAAACAAGCACATTTATGCCCAGCAATCAACTATTTTATGGTTTTACATCAGTGAAGCGGGGAGAGAAAGATACATGCAGGGGGAAGGATATTATTATGAGGGAATATAATAACAGAACTTACTCTCACAATCAGCTTCTCCTGTGATATTTACTTTCTTAAAAGATGAGAAAAAAAGGGTAAAATGTTCTGTATATCCATCAGCCAGATATTTATTACAGGGTATCACCAAATTTAAGCCTTAGCACAGGGCTTTATCATTGACATTCATTTTTGTCCAACACTGTTGATGACTTTTTCTTGCCAAGGAATACTTGCTGCCAAATTTTAAAGCAAAAAAATTCATTCTCATTCTCTCCCATAGCTGTTAATGCGGATTATGATAACTGAAATCAAATGACACCATGACATAATGTTCACAAAGTGGAAAGTTCTTTTTTTTTCTCAAAGATACACAATTCTAAATCCCTACCACCTTACATGGCTTTTGGTTTCTTCTATGCAACTCAGCAAGGGACATGCTTTTCTCATCCACCTTTTCAAAATGAGTATTCTTCAATGCCTGAGTGATCTATACACCATATGTTTTGCTTCCCTCCTGAAATAGTCACCTTCATTATAATAATCAAAAGCAGCCCTGAAGGTGACAATGCTACTCTGACTTATACCACATCATGAAACTCAGCAGCAAATCTCATGACAGTATCACAAGTAAAGGGATTGACAATCATAAGCAAATAATAAGAAAGAATGGCATATAATCACTTATTTTGTTCTTCCATGAAATGGCCCTGGTGCCCAAGCAATGATTTGTTGGAATCTCCTAGTTTTATGAAATTATCGTAGAGCTTCAGAAAGATTCAACAGATGAATGATAATTTCCAGCAATTGATAACTCTGGAAAAAGTGCACATGCTCTTGCATTGCATGCTCCCTCCTTTGTTCCTGGCTGGCAAGATCAGGGGAGGACATCCATGCAATGTGTTTTCCTGGAAATTTGTGGTTCATAACCCATAATCATCTAAATCTCCACCACTTAACTAGTGCCAGTGGATATTTCTTAAGGAAAGGTAACTTCACTCTTTGCAAGTAAGCCTACTTTTGGAGAAACAGCTTACTATTATGCTCCAGGAAAGATCCTCATACAACTCCTCATCCAAAAAGTATGCAGTAACCACCACATTCTACAAAAGCTGATTTGGTATACCTACTTCTCATTTGGGAGAGAAACAAACATAACACTGATATTTAAGGTCATATGCAGTGTAACCCAGGCTGTAGCAGATAGCAGCCTGATCATGCATTATCCCTTGCTATTCATGGCAATATTTGGCATGCAATAGTTGTAGCCAAGAAAGGCAACAGAAAATGACAGGAAATTCAGTTGGAGACACAGGTAGCCATTCCAACTACACAACTCTGGAATCCTTACCAACTGTTGGGTTAACAGGCTGAAGAGCTGCATAAGAACGAGAAGATCCTTCTGGGAGAGCACGCAATGAGAAAGGAGAACACGATTGTGAGCTACATCACTTCTTTGGCGATTATGCCTATCACAAGAAGACTTACACATTCCCTTGAGGAGACCTTTGACAGGCACCAGTCTTTGCTGGTTAAAGAGATCACACTAGATATGTTTTTTTATACTTGGGAGAATTCTACCATTAAGTATGTAAATTCAATTTCATATTTGTAAAAATGATTTACTAAGAAAGTGAAGTTCCAAATGTCTGAAACCTAAGATAGGGTTGCTAACTCCCATCCTATGAAACAAGAGCATCAAAAGCAGGAAAATGTAAGACATTTATAAAAATGACAATATTTACTGAACAGAACAAGATGGACTACGAGTACAGGGTGTCCCAGAAACCTTGCCCGAGTTTTGTATCATTTAAATCCTAGATCTTTCTTAACAACTGCTGCTAAACCTGATGGTTTGTGATTACTGGTTGTGGAGTTTTTTGAAAGAGAAGGTGTATGCTACAAAACCCCTAACATCCCTGACATGATCAGCACCATTTACTTAGTCTTAGTCTCCATCCAAACTTGGGTTTCTGGGATGAAGGGATTCAATCTTTTTGCCACTGAAAATGGTTCCCATTCTGATCATGACCCATACTGCATCATTGGGAAAGTCATCCACCACTTTCTGGCACATGTCCAAGCTCTTGGTTTTCAGTTTGGTGAAAATGGCACTGATGAGATCAGGGATGTTAGGGGTTTTGTAGCCTACACCTTCTCTTTCAAAAAACCCCACAACCAGTAATCACAAACCCTCAGATTTAACAGCAGTTGTTAAGAAAGGATTAGGCTTTTTGAATGATACAACTCATTTCCATCAGAAAAAAAAATAAAGACAAAATAATGTACAAATCTTGGGGCAGTTTTTCTGGGACACCCTGTATATATTGAACCGCCTGAGTATATAAGGTCTGTGAAACCAAGCTGAATATTTAAAACCCGAGTATTCCACTATTTAAAATGACAAGAATTTAACTGCAAAAACAAGCTGCATATTGATGTAATAGGCTTACTAGATGCCTCAAAAAGAATGAGAAAAATAAGTAATAAATATTTTTGTATTCCAACCCAGCTACCCAGGGCGAAGGGGTTCTATGGATGGCCTTATTGCCCACTGCTTGCATTGTCTCTATTTTCTTCCCTTGCCTGAGATCCTTTTTTTGTTGGTGTGTTTCCAATGTCTTTCACATTTGTCCATATCTTGTTATCACTAGTAAATATGTGGAATAATACATTTAATTTTAAAAATTAAAATCATGGATCAAGCAGACCTTCTATGGAAAACAGACATGACTCAGAAGCCAACTGATGTGTATTCTTATATTTCCTGGGAATAAAATCCTCAAAGCATAAACTTCAGTGGTATCCATACCTTTAACATCAAAGCATTTGTCTTTCATTATAGATTACATAACTGTCAATTAAATTTCAAAAATAGGCCTCATATTTAGGAATCATAGGGACACTGTAAGAACTCTCAAGATAAAGCAAAAGATTAAGAGCCTGTTTCAGAGAAAGTGAGGCAAAAATCAGGCAAAAGTGATTGCTGACATACTTGGATTAGGGAATATATAGTACACTTATTAAAGGTGATAAAAAAAATAGCAAACCAAACCACAGTAAACCATGCTTCTTTTCAGAGTCGAATTTCCCTGATCCAATAAAAAAAACTGGTAAATAAATATGAGATAACTTAGTGTGAAACATTACATCATTTTTACTTGCTTAATTAGAGAAAATTTCAATTGAGAGTTGTAAAATAAGAAACAATTTATTCATTACTGACCAGTGCTAGGACATACCTCAAGAACTGATTATATTTTTCTGAATGCCACCCTTTGCAAACAGCATCTTAGCTCTGTTGACAAGCTTCAATCCCATCTTTATGACCTGTTTTCTGTAGTTGGGGTAGGCATGTTAGGGAAGATGTTCAAGCTATAGGAACAATATTCAAATCCCATAAAAGTAGACTGGTACAAGGAATGGAAATTGGGTTATTGCCAGGTGAGGATGACCTACAGGATTAGCCAGAAATGTGCAGTGTAGAAGTTCCTCATTGCTGACAAAGTATAAAGTCAGCTGCTTTCTGAAAACTACATAGCATGGTCATTGATATTTTTAGTCTTAGGCCTATTATTCTCTCTTACTCATGAGCATGCTTCACATGATGCATCCAAAAATAAAAATCATCATTCATGGAATGAAAACATGGCTTTTTAAATTGTAATGATGATTCAGGAGTAATGGGCACCAACACCATAAGCTTCAGTGCTTCTGCTATTTTTAAAACCTTTGACTAAACCTACCATATTTTTGGAAAGAGAGAGCCCTGATTTATAGAGGCCACATAAGACACCATGTAATATGACACTTACCTGCAACAATGAATTGAGCAGGTACAAGTGCAGCTACAGCACCATTGGCTTGTGTTGATGTTACAACCACATGGGCTGTCACAGTCTGTGCACTCAAGTTTTCATTCAAGTGTCCCTTGGGCCCATCTGGAGTACCACTTGGACTCACTGCCAAATTTTCACCTTTCAAATGCTGCAATACAAGATGAGATGCATCACTTGAAGATGGTTGGCCTTTTCCTTTCTTAAAAACATCACATGCAAAATAAATGAATGTTTCTCAAGAATGACACCCAAAGAGAGGTGGCATCTGCCTGTCATAAGCATCAAACTCAATTGTCTGACTAGGACACCCCTCCATGATCCTGTAGGTGGTCTTAAGGATAGCTTGTAGATTAAAAAAAGATTCTTAAGGCATACAGTATCTGTTCCTCCTATAAATGGCACACATTAATGTATGTGCTACACAGGTGCTAACATTATACTCTCAAAAAAGCAGATGCCAAGGTCCAAATCCTGAAACCTTTCTTAATTAAGTCATTTATTTAAGAATCCATGAATTCCTATGGGGGAAAAGGAGCACTTTTTCTCACCTAAATGAGGTTTCAGTATTCAGGACATAAACTGTTAGCAGAGAAAAGCCTGCCACCGTCCAAAAGCAAACTCTTGCTTTTAAGGTGATATATCAATCATGCTCCTGAGTTCACAATAATTTAAATTATAAGGCAATAATTTCAGCTGACTACCAAAGATGTGGATTTTCTGCAGATAGGCCCATTGAATAGTCTCAGCAGATGTTCTTCAACAAGTCCAAGGATGGCTATACCCAGATGTAAAAAGTGTCTTAGGAAGCATTAACTAGGACTCACAGTTTGTCACTCAATAGCCTACACTCTCAAAAATTTTGCAGAACATTCACCAAAATGAAACTGGAGAAATTCTAATAAATCCATGAAGTGCAATAAGCAGGATCCATGTGTATGAATTGTAGTCATAACTGCAGTCATAACTTCATCAGAGCCTTCCCATATTAGATAATTCATTAAGTTCAGCATGGAGAAAGTACTAGAGGGACCAGCAAGTCATATCAAGCATTAGGACAAAGATTCAATTCTTTCATGGTGTTTGAAGTGAGGGGAGTCCTTGCAGCAGCATCAACTTCCTCCTTTGTTATAGCTTTGGTCAGAACAAGACATGGCCTGCCATATGAGATAAGACTATGGGGTCCAATTGGTAGCCTGCAGTCAAGCAATGTGTCAAGTTGGTTCTTTGAGAGTCAAAAAGATGACTATCACACAAGAGAAATCCCTAACCTATCCATGTTATATTAGACACTCTCACAGTTCCTCCACTGATGCATCACTTCTAATAGATGTTTAACCCACAACATAGTTTATTTTTCTAATAAATTTTCATAATACAAACAATCATTGTCATTTAGGAAGTCATGCAGATCACACAGCCACATTCTATCCATGTCAGCGATACATCTGCACCAGCAATCCACAAGTCCCACAAATGACAGGAAGAAAACTCTTGAACCTAAGTCTCCTCTCAGACCAATTTTCTCGAGTGTCTCCTGAGTGGGACCCCTCGCATCCCACTACAGACGGATGCAACATCTTCAGCATCCAAGAAAATATATTCTCTTCCTATTCAATATTTGCGGTAATGGTTTTGGATTAAAAGAAATGCAGGAATCTTCTCAAGCCAAATTTACCCGTAAAAATACTTGAGGGATTACTATTGAGGCCATGTTATCTTTGTGGGGACCGCGATAGCGTCTCTAAGGTGCACCGGATATTTAGGCTAATAAAATATTTCTTTTCTGCGATAGGCAACTTAATCACCTCGGTTTTTCTATTGCTCGCCCACTCTACCATGGTCTACGACGGATGATGGGAAAATACTTCAACTGACCTGTTTGTCGGACGGACTGCAGTGAGAGTCCCCCGAACCGGGCTGATTCTGAACATTATCCTGATGCATGGCCTCGGTGACGATAACGCAAGAGACGTGAGACGCCGGAACGCTCATCCTCACATCCGGACGCGAGGATTCGAGGAAACGGGGAACGTCCTCTGCATTCTCACACGGATGGGAGAAAAAACAAAGACACTAAACAAACTTCCGAGTCAGGAAGGAGGGAAACGCGTGGACCACATGACGAGGGAATTTTTGCCGAGGTGTGGATCCCCGTTGCTAAACAACAGTTACCATGGCGACCGATCCGGCCGCATGACAAACAAACCTTCGTGCCGAGAAACTGCTCCTGCCATTGACTCCTCTTCTCATTCCTGCAACGCCAAGAAACTCCCCGTTCCCTCGTCGGCCCGAATGAAAAAAGCGGAAAAAAATCGAAAATGCTTAATTGCCTCAGGACGAAACGAGGAACTACATTTCCCAGCGACGGAGACATGCGCGATGCGGCAGGAGCCCCGCGGACGCGCACAACACACACAGCCCATTCCCGTTCATCCGTTTGATCGAGTCGGAACGCGCGAAGTACGGATGCGAGTCGCAGTGTGTCGCGAGCGGCTGAACGCGGCGGGGCCGATCCCCGTGGATTTCCGTTCGGAGCAACCGGCGGCAGGCGTTCGAGCGTAGTACGCTCGGCAATCAATGGATCGATGGATTCGCATGGCAAGGAACATTTCTCATAACCTCATTTCCTCCGTGTTGCTTTGTTCCTCGGTGGAAGGGACGGGATATATAATATATTTAGTAATAATATTCCGCTATGGGAACTCAGAGGCAAACTTAATTGAAGTCTTTGGCAGGATTTTATTAATCCTCGACTCCATTCGGCTTCAAAATGACGCATTTGCTGTGTTTGAGCGCGCATGAATTATTTCACGGCTAAATTATATTTACAATCACAACGGTGGAGACTTGTAAAACCTTCGTGTGCGATTAGAAAACTTTTTAGCGAGTAGGATCAGAAAATACCCCCGAGAGGAAGCAAAAGGTAAAAGTAAAAAAAATATGAAGACGTTTTGATGATTCGCAGATGAGGGGAGGAAGTCCGCAATTGGCACGAACGGGAAATGCCAGATGATGAAATTAGTTCCGAAAATACCGAGAGAAAATGCCCAGGAAGAAATGACGGGGACAAAAAAAGTCCGATCGAAACAGGACGAAATGGTATATGCGTTGCCTTTGTCCTGCAGTGGACAGAAGTTAGCTGATAATTCACGAGGGGCAACGCCCTCGGTATTAGAGGTGGCAGCTCCCCCCTTTGCCCCCCCTCATGCCCCCCCCAGGTCTGAGTGATTTCCCCTTCCTGATATTTCCGGGCAGCATATGCGCCTTCATTCAATCGTAATCATGCATTACGATATAAAAATCCTTGTGTTCAATGGAGGAAAATGTAAATCCTCAGTATATCATGGATCTGTGAAAACTCCAAGAAAAGAAAGTGTTGTTCGAGGTGGGCATTTTAAGCCCTTTGCCCTTAAGCTCCCTGGAGTAATGCGAGGAAACCCTTTGAAAGTGTACGTGGGAGGAAGACGATAGGATTTTTTTCTTCTTCATTTTTTAAGGCTGCGAACTTTGAAGTCGTCTGGAGGCGGGCAAAAGCAAAAAAATATATATATATTCCAACTATTAATAGATGGAAAAAGCAAGCAGGAGAGACCGAGAATCTTTTCCCTCCCTTTTGCACTGCGCCGAGCCCAATCGAGGAGAAAGAAAGGAGCGAACCCAGTGACCTCCACTGACGAATTGGGTGAAATTACAAACTGGGGAATTTCGGTCCGTGGACTGAATCGGTTGGCCGAGGTAGATCCAACGGATTTGTAGTTCGACTCGTGCCGTGAGGGCTCTATAGGCCTCGGCGCCCAATAGCGTCTTGATCGTGGAAGAGTCTGTTCCCGACATTTTTATTGTGGGCGGCCATAAAGTGACTGACTGGAATTGACACGCGAGTGCCACCCTTTTGGGAAAGAATGCGCAGGGTTGTCAGATCCTGTTGGAATCCTCCCACGGCATCCGCAGGACACTCACACGAACAAAATGCATAAAAATCCACATCATGCGTTGACAACCCCATCCATTTCCACAACCCTCCCCATCGAGGAGGGCAAAACCCTCGAATGTATTGCCCAAAACCTCATCCGTCAAGTTCATTAGCCGTCTTTCTTTGGAAGTATCCGAGAATTTATTCCACTTCGCGTGCCGCTGGAGGCCGAAAGCTGAGCGAAGCGTGAAATGAGTTCACGCGAGTCATCTGGCAGTCGCTGAGGCAAACGAGGGTCTCGCGTTAGAAGTAAGATGGCGCATCGATCGCCGCTGTAGCGCGTCGTCCTTTGTGGCTGCTGGGGGTTCTCTGAAGAAGCCGCGTCGATGACGTCATGAGGCGTTTCAACTGTTTTTTTATTCAAGTCTGCGCCAAAAATGGGCAAAATTTGATTCATTTTTGGCGTTCGCCGATTGGGTCGGGCACGAGGATCCCGCCTCGTTTCTCCAACGGATTCGATTTCTCAACTCGAATCCGAATGCCTTTCTCTGCGTTCTGCAGGATGTTGCCTGCTTGAACTGCGATTAAATGCACATTCTTTCAATCCTGCTTTAAGTCTTATATCAAATCCGGAATCGAGCCGTTTTATGGACGACATTGGAAGACTTATTTTTTTTAATATTTCAGAGGGAAAGTTTTAATATGAGGAGTCGATTAACTCCATTCTGCACGAATCAAAACGAGGCAAATATTTTCATGAGGCTTTAGGGATATTATAATAATCGATGGCGATTCGGCAATTTCGGCACGGAAACGTCGCTTTTCATTCTCGTCGTAAAAAGGCTTCATTAAAGGGGAAAACTTCAACCGAAGTGGAGCGTTTTCCCCGCATTCGCAGATGAACATTGCTCGCAACTGATTTCCTCCCTAGCAACGAGGAAACGGAAAGGCCTTCGCATTTTCCCCCGAACGCGATTGAACGACGCTCGAGCGAATCGGATCTCCGAGGAAACGAGAATCCCCGAGACGGGGGCAGTCCCGCCGGTCCCGTAGGCGAATCAACGCAGCGCGCTGGCGGTTCGGATGCGGCGGGTGACGGTGGAGGTGTGCGCGGCGGGGATGGTAGAGGTGTGCGCGGGGAGGCTTCTTCGACGCGATCGACGATCACGTCGTTAAGGAGTAATGCGACTTGCGTGTCTCCTGTCGTGGAGCTTCTCGGGCCTTCTGCGCCGAAAGAGAAGGTCAACTTTATTTATGTATTATTATTTATTTATTTATTATTATTTTTTTCTTTAGAAAGGCGATCTCGTGCAAGCCTCAGGTCTTTCTAAACGTGTCTTCTCAGAGGAAGAAAGGACAACTTCTGCCAATTTTCAACAAATTACAGTGCTTCAAATACAAAAACGTAAAAAAATTTGAAGTATCGAAAATCGTCGCGAAGAAACAACCTACGCACAGGTCCTCTGCAAGTGCACCAAGTGAAAGGCGCAGGTGGGAGGTGCAGGTGGGAGGTGCAGGTAGGAGGTGCAGGTGGGAGAAGGCGCGTACGATGGATGAAGATGAACTTCCGCGGTCGGCCAAGGGATGTCGTCCCGCTTGGGAGGTTGGCTTTCACAATCCGGAAGGGTTGTGATCGCCGACGTCGCCGAATTTCGTTGAGATTTCGCGCGGATCACGCGATGAAGCAAGAGATAGGGAGTCATCAAAAATGATTTTACGGGAAGGAGGCAGCGGAAGTGGCTTATTTCAGCGCCATCTTCGACGGAGCCGCCTTCTACAGAGACGACTCTCGACCTTAATAATAATAAATTGGCAGCAACCACGGTCGGCGTCATCGAATCAAACGACGCGGAAGCGATTAATTTAAATGCGAACTTCCTTGAAAGCGGCGACGAAAGAGTGTTTGGTCATCATCGGCCTCACCGTGCTGTCAACATTTTTTGTCCAATTAGAATTCTGGCATCTGCTAAACCACAGCCAATGAAGTTGCCAAGGCCCACCTAAGCAGTCGCCAGGGCCCACGGTCAACGGGATATACTTATATTATATTATATATACTTATACTTATATAAACGAGATTTATGAGATAATTTCCCTCGTCTCGAATGGAAATCGCGGGGAGCCGAGCCGACGCCCGTTCGCAAACAAGTTTTTTTTCGCCCGGATCCACCCCCGCCGATTTCGTGATCCCCGGTCGAGGTCGGAGATCACGAGGTGCCGGCTCAGCAAACACCAAGAAAAAACAAGCCATCATTCCTCGTCGTTCCCCATCATTCCTCATCGCTCTTCTCTTCCCCAGCCGAAGAAGCGAGGACCGGGCAGCAGGTGCCACGCGAGCCGGGGGAAAGCGTCAGCGATCGCACGAGATAAAGGAGGAAATCCCGGTAAGTGCATCCTTCACCTGCGACCCTTTTTCTTCCACATCTGCTCCATTATCTCCATTTTCTCCATTTTCTCCATTTTCTTCTCTATTGGATTAGCTTTCCCACTCGTGAGCTTTCGATGCTTTCGTCGGCCGCGGCGCCATCTCTGATCCATATTGTGAACTACATTGCGGAAGATTCCACGAAAGATTTGCAAAAAAATTTGCACGTGCTTAAAACCCACGTGAGCATGACAATGTCGCTACTGTCCGAAAACCCAGTTTTACTTGAGAATCGGTAATGTCGTCTCATTAGCCCATTACCATACGCGTGGGGCAGGAATCCATTCAGAACTGAAGGGCGTCACACTTGAAAGCCTTGTTTGCTTGCTAGTCTTGTTTGCTGTTGGTCTTTCGCGATAATCGCGATAGTTCGTCGTGGTGCCGCAGACTCATGCGGAAAGAGGGAATTCCGACAGCGATTTTGTAGAGGTCATTCGTGGGCCTCTCGAAATTCCTCGGCGTGTCGTCCTTGCAACCCCTGTCGAGACGATCGACCCGGGGCCGACCTCGACTCGTCTCCGCATTTCGTTCGTGGTTTCCTCATTCCGCATCGTTCGAACGGTTTCGAATTGAACCTGTTTCCCGCCACTTTCCCGCTAATTTCTGCGTGGCAGGTTCTGCTGGCACTTTCCCATCGGGATACTTCTCCGCGAAATATTTGCAATTAGCGAGATTCGCTCTCAACCCAAACATCAACAGCAGCAAAAAAATCTGCTGCTGTAATGCGAACAAACGTTTACCGTTCTGAAAACTTTCGCAGCTGGACCGACCCCCATCACCCAACCCGCCGACGCACGAGCCATGGCCGCTCGAGTCTCTGAGCGTTTCCTGCGGTACCGCAACAGACTATAGCAATCATGGCGGAAGACGGCCTCGAACAGGAAACAAGACGGAATGACCACTTTCGAGCAGGAAACTCGTTATGAAGTCTGTATTGGCCTGGTCTTTTCCCGGAATGTACCAAAAGAGGCGAACGTGATGCCTATGGAAGAGAATCACTGTCGCGGCAAGACTCCTGCGCACAGTAACTTATTAGATGTTCTCGTAGAATCTTTCTTAGGGCGAACAGCGGTAAGTCATCCTGTCGAAAGGAACCGCAAGCCAACCTCGAGGGTTTCGATTTCTTGATCATTCGCCTTCCCGAAATGCGGCCGCAAAATTTTTCGATGAATCTCGTGCTTCCGCAAAGCGTCGGAATGAGACGACTACGGCCCAACGGCGAGACTAAAGGAATTGTCTCATTGTTCAACAATGCTGGGAGAACAATGAGACAACCCAAATACTGCTGTTGAAATTTCACACTACCGGTAAAATTTCAGACAAGAGGGGAAGGGATTGCGTTGTGCAGCTATTCGCAAGGAGACTTATTGGCAGACGGAGAGCCAAAATTTTCATCATCGTTCTCGGCTGATTGCTGCTGATCAACTGACTACCGCTGATCCAAGATCGCACAATGTGCTGTCAGTTGTCTCAGTTTGCGTTTTTGCACCGTTTCGCTGAACTCGAGACAAAAAAAAATCCCGAAAATCCTCAAGGCGGAAAAGATGGGAGCTGAAATCCCTAGAAGCTTCCTGTTCGATAAGGTCGAAAAAGGAGTAATAATAACACCTTTTTTTATGCCTTTTTTCATTAGGGTCGTCGGGATGTACCAGCTGTGGCTCCAGTGACGGACGGCTGCACGAATTCCTGAAGAAACGAACGGTTTATTGGTATCCATGATGACATGTTCCCCCCCTTCTCTTCAAGGAATGTCCGAGGGTAAGTACTGAGAACAATGGCAATAAAATAGCAAGGAAATGGCAATAAATCGACCTCGAAATACGAAAGAAGTACCGAGAGACCAGTCGAGCCTGAGGATCACTCGAGTGCCAACCAGAGGTACCAGCATGTTCGACGATCTGTCCGCTTATCAGAAGCCCCCTTACCCCGTCTATAATAATTTGTCACGGTATGAACAGCTGAAGAAGTACCACGAATATGCGAAGCATATCCCGACTCAGAAGGAAAATCTGCCGTATTTCTTCGTCTTCGACTGGGAACTGGACACGGATTGGGCCGAATGTGTCCACATGTGGCTCATGGATCATTGGCCCCTCTCTTTCGTCTTCGCTGCCCTCTACCTGATCCTCGTGTTCTGGGGTCGGCACTGGATGAGAAACCGGCCGGCCTGGGAGATGAAGAAATCCCTGATCGCGTGGAATCTTTTCCTCTCCGTCTTCAGCATCCTCGGCGCTTCTCGAGCCATACCGGAATTCTACCACAGCATTCGAGGGAATTCCCTCTACTACTCGATGTGCTTGGGGAAGTGAGTCCAATTCTTTGTCTCTCCCAAGACACGTATAGATAGGGTAAAATCGTAGAAGTTCGGACACTATCATCGTAAAAAAAAAAAAACAAACGAAGGATTGGTGAGCTTTCCCTTAGTTTCGCAGCTTGGAAGAGTTGATTCTAAGGGGACATGCAAACTGACTGTGAGGAGCTGCGTTGCGACCGCTGCGATCGTCGCAGTCTGTCGCAGTACGCTTCGCGACGGAATCGGAACGATTCATTTCCGTCGCATCTTCACAGTGGTTCGCGCTGCGTAGCTGTTGACTGCAAGTTATGCAATCCTTGGATATACGAGGGGGTATGAAAAAATAAGGTTCTCTAAATTTTTTTTGCACCAAACTTATTTATTTTAGCAACCAAGACATTATGCATACAGATGTACGAATATGAGTACATCAACCATTATTCAACAAAGTTGTCATAGTTGTCATTATTCAAGCACTTTTACTATTTTGCGAGCTCAGATAGTTTTGTGCAAATAAAAAAAATAAGGAACCTCATTATTTGATATGCCCTCGTATAATTTTGCGGCTCTTTTGGTGGAATGACATCGGCGGTAGATGATGCTGATTATCACCATTGATTCCCCATGAACGATATGTGTAGCTTCATTGGGAGTTGAGGTATAAAGTTGTTGATAATTTTTTTGCCTTTTGATACCTTCGTAACTTGCTATTAGGCTTTCTGCATTGTGCATTAGAGTTGTGTTCCAGGAGGCTTAGTGTGTCTCTCCACCAGTGGCGGATACAGGGGGGGGGGGGGGGGTGGGAGCTTGAAAACCCTATGACAAATTGCTGTATCCACCCATGTTCTCCACACCAGCGCTTCTGCATTTCATTCCACGTTTCGGCTTTCGCAAGAAACTGGATTGCATAATTAGCTGCTCAGGCGCGCTTTCCAATCAGGGCGGCAAGAACGAAGCAACAGTGAAATCGTAAGGGAGAGTTCGCACTTGGTAATAACAGGCCAAACATTGCGACTTCTTCCTTCACTGCAGATTGGATTGAACTTGGAATTTCAGGGGGGGGTTTTTTTTCAAGGTCCTTTAGGGGTTTAGTGAATTAAAAATTCATGCTCTCGCTCAAAAGAATCCCCCATCAAAGTCCTCATGAAGAAAGTTCACATTCAATCCATTCTATAGCGAGAAATGCCGCAAATATCAGCTCCTTAAAATCTATCAACAATCGCTTCATGTCCGCTCCTACGAAACCTTCGAGGAAAATTTTCGCTCGGGAGAAGAATGGAATGTCAAAACGCTGAGAATGACAATTCCATTCGCGGACGTTTTTGAAGAATACGTAGAACGAAAATTGCGAATCGTCTAAAAGCGGGGTCGCAAAAGATGTTGATCAGTCCTCGAATAAATCCTTTCATAACCTAATCCTATTTATTCGTCTTACCGTTCCATCGAGGACTCCGATGGGGATTGTGAGGGCCACCAAATCCTATTAGTGTATTTATAGCATTCATAATTATCACAGCTTTCGGATCATCCCCCACCAGACTTAACCTTGATCTCGCAGGAAGGTTAAAGCGCGATCGCGATCGTGGGCACCGAGGACTTGAAGGGTTAAAAAGGAGCCGATTCCTCCGTGCGATTTCAAATGCGAATGACGTCACAAATACATATTAGTGGTTTTTCTTGTAGGAAAAAGGGAAGATGATAACTCGTCGAGTTTATTTTACCTCGGTCAAAGTTTATTGAAAAATACAATATTGCTTTTCTCCGTGACGGCCGAATGCGACGGAGGAACGAAATAAAGCGGCGTCGCATCCGAGAACAATGGGCAACAGAGGATGAGTTACGACTGCGTCGCTCTCTGTCGGCCGTGGAGTTCCAGGCGGATGAGGAATGACAGGCGTGCCTTTTCGTCGACCTCATGGCATGCCCGCTGAGCGCCGTGATTCCACGTAAAATGGCCTTTTCTGTTTATCTGTGAAAGCAGTTCGACGGGAACCGTACTCATGTACTTTGTCGAAGGTCTGATGGGTTTCGTGAGTGTGGCTATTTTTCATACATTTAAGCTATTTTCAGCATTGCATCTGCGGAGTAGGAGCGGCTGAGAGTCTCCTATTAACTTTTTAAAATAAATTTATTAGACGATTGCTTAACCGATTGCACGTAACAGGCCAAAACCTGAATGGCCATCTCCATTCACCGGCGGGGGTGTCCTTTAACCCTGGAACCCGTATAACTGCAGACTTGACGTGTTTTCGCATTCTGTACGCGAAATTCCTTACTGATGGGAACTCATAGGGGGTTGGACTGTTTCATCTAAGACTTGCACTGGAGCAGCTACAGCTGTTTTTGTGTGTCTCGGTCTTGCTCTTTTTGCGGGCCCCTTTTCTTAAAAGGAAATCTACTGATATTTCTGTCCTGGTTTTCTCACGCTTCGGTTTCCAACGATGGTTGCAAAATATTTACCTGATCAGGGCGAAAATTGGTATGTAGATATGCACCGCCGAAACATAGGCTAAGAGCAGAACTTTTATTGCAAATTTAAGATGTCACATTTTCCCTCAGCGGGGAAGCCAGACCAACCGTCAGCCTAACTTGATCACGACCTTAAGGCGCATGCGCGGCGCTGAGATCGGGATGCCGTGTCTCCAACCAGAACTGTCTGATTCTTCCCGGCCTTCACGGCTGACGGAGCCGTCGTGGACGAAAGGTGACAGAGGCAATCCAGGGCAGCGTAAACAGGGATGTATGCTGAATTCGCGTAATCGAACAGGACTGCTCGTCGTGCTCTCCTGTTTCCAATGAAAGTAGGCCCACAACTATACTGGGTTTGGCCAGGTTCTTTTAAATTTTTCATCCGCATGCCTAGGGCCGCCAAAGGATTCCACTTTCTTCAAATTCTGATACCCAAGAAATTGTTTGCATAATCAGATTCCCTCCTCCTCACAATGTGTGGTTGAGTTACTCAGATGTGGGTCTCGGCCAAACTTAGGTCGAGAAGCAATAGTCAAATACGTGTTCCGAGTCAGTGATTGTCAATCTGTCCATCAGTCAGAATCAGCCAGACGATCAACTCTCGAGTCGGAACGTCAATGATAGAAATCATTCATATTTCGTTTTTTTTTTGCTAAAAGAAAGACGACTTTTATTGTAATGAAGCTTTTTTTTCTACCGGCGTTAGCCTCAGCGAAAGTAAGGTCCATTGGTGTACAGGCAGGTATAGAGGGACGATCTGATTATTCAGGAGAACTATCGTCAGTTGAATGAAGAAATGATTTGAAGTACAGAAAGACCTATGCTAAAGTGTTACATTCTTGCACTGTTCTATTCCATGATATTCCACAGTATCGTACATATTTAATTTTTTTGTTGCTCCATTGAAAATTTTCCTTTTTATATTTTAAAATATCATTATATGCGCGTATAATTTTCCCCTTAGTCATCTGAAGCACAACCCAGTGGTGGCAAATTGGGGAATCTTATTCGCGATCTCAAAGGTGATTGAGCTGGGAGACACGGCATTCATCGTCCTAAGGAAGCAGCGTCTCCTTTTCCTCCATTGGTACCACCACATCACGGTGCTCCTATACGCATGGTTCTCCTGTGCCCAGGGGATCCCCACGGCCCGGTACTTCGCCACTCTAAACTACACAGTCCATGCACTCATGTATCCCTATTACCTGGCCCGGGCGGCTAAGATCCGCGTCCCTCGCCGCGTCGCCATGTTCATCACCCTCTTTCAACTCACCCAGATGATCTTCGGAGTATACGCCAACGCCTACTCCTACTTCGCTAAGAAGGCCGGACTCCACTGCGAGACTCCGTGGGAAAACATCTACGTTTCCGCCCTCATGTACCTTTCCTATTTCTTGCTCTTCTTAAATTTCTTCATCGATGCCTACATCAGACACGCCTTTAAGGGCATGAAGAATGCTGCGGCCCAGGGAAAGAGCGTCGGCGAGGAACTAGAAGAATATCTCAAAATCAACTGAGCGAATAAATGGAATTCCGATAGGATGTCAAACAAAGTGGGAATTCATCTCGGAAACAAAAGGTTGCGCGAGCCATTTTCCTTGTCAACGACCCTACTTCAACTCTCACAATACTGTACTTCCTTTGACGTTATTATAAGGGCGATCAATGACAGTACGGCCAAGTGAACATAAAGCTTTGTTGGCATCTGTGGTTTGCTGTTGGACAATTTCGCGCCGGTGAGGGGGGAGGCGAGCGAGAATGTAATCCGGGGTAGGCAAAAAAAGTTTATCATTTTACAATTAGCTGATACATTAGTACTAAATAGGCATGCAATTTGGCGATCATCAGTGTCAGTCTTCCATGGCCTAATGCAATTTCCTTCATGGTATTTCGACAAAAAGGAATTCTATTTCTTTCTTGTCACAAGAATAGGAAAAACCTTTTTTGTGTGATTATTTGCTTCATCATGCTGGCGTAAACATTCTCACTTTATTTTTTTCCTATGAATACCATCATAAACAAGGTTATGATTGAAATTACCTATATTTATCAAAGGTTATCTAATATACAGGGTGATCCAAAAGTCTCCATACATAGGGGAAATTAACACTTAAAAAAAAAGTGTAACTTTATTTTCTTAATATGCTCTACATACATATTGAATTATTTTTCTTTTTTTCAGATACCCTTTAAGAATGCCTTTGTCAAAAGAAGAACGTATAGAAATCATTCTGATGGCCGGATCAGGAAGCTACTTAAGGACGTTAATTTTCCCTATGTATGGAGACTTTTGGACCACCCTTTATATAGACGATGGTGACTGATGGCGACTGACGCTAATTCTAACCATGTTCTAGACAAGATGAAAGGCTGAAACTTGGTACTCTGGAGTCAGCAATCTAACCGCTTGGAAGCGGTTAGATTGCTGACTCCAGAAAAATTCCAACTTTGGGGGTAAGTGCCCTGGGGGCTCATTCCGGGGGGTCGCATTTTTGAAAGCCTAGGTCTAACTCTCAGACGGACGCTTAGGCCTATTCCATTCTCAGGCACACACTTCCTTCAATAAAACGGAACGAACGTGAATAGATGCTAGGTTGTCGACTCCAGAGAAAGTTCAACTTCGAATGCCTAACTTTGGTGGTCCATGCCCTGGGGGCACGTTTCAGGGAAGGGGGGGGAGACCGATTTCGCAGGCCTAGGCCCAACCCATGGATGGATGCTTAGGCTAATACCACACTCATACGTGTTCCTCCTTCAGCAAAGCGGGAGGAAAAAGAAATAGCTGTTTTATTCCCTACTACAGCTGAAGTTCGACATAGAAGGTACGTGCCCTGAGGGGACTGAGTTAGCAAGCCTAGGTAACCCTTGGAAAGATGCGGAGGCCTACACCAATCTTGCCCGACCTAATCGTATCGAGGAACTTCTCCGCCCATCTGAACGAGAATCCTTCTGCCTTAGCCTGACGCGCTAGGCCTTCGACCTATGCCGTTGGGTCATAGGCGAAGGGAAGGACACGAGTTGACGCGATCCAGTACGCTTTCAGATGCGAATGGGTTCAATTTATTTTTCTGGCAGGGAAACGGTAGAAGATGTTCCATTGATATTTCGGTTTATCAGATGGCTACGTCTAATCCACTTACGGACACTTAGGCCAATGCTATGCACACTTCAACGAAACGGGAAGGTAAAGCTATGGGCTGCATTTACGGAATGACGCGTTTTTTCATAGAGAACTGCATGGAAACTTTAGACGAGTTTGACAAAGGGACTCCTATAGAGTCCAAGTTATGAAGATAATGAGAGAACTCCTCATACAGTGAACATAGTCTATAAAATATTATTGCGTTAAAACTCGAAAGCGGTTTTTGTGGTTCATATGGCTGCTATTACTCCTACTTTTTTGGAGATTGATATGCAATCAAGAGTGTGTCGACCATAGGCAGGAATTGAATACACCAATGGGACACTAAACGACACTCTTACAATTGTTACTTGGGGATCCTCATGCTACAAATAACATGGCGTCACTAAGAATATGTTCTAAGACACATTTATTTTAAAGGTGCGAGAATTGAACCCATGAACAAGGGAGTTTAACCGCATTAGTATGAGGGAGCATTGAAAACGGATGCTTTAGATCGCAGAGCGCCGAAGCATTGAATATGCTTGCTGTGCCTCGACAATAGCTGCCAGCCGAGCAAAAGCTCGTTCTCTCTAAGTCGCTGGTCCGAGGAAATAAATGAAAACGTCTGAAAGAAAATAATGTAGGCATAACTGGGACTAGTCTGCGTCAGAAAAGAAATTATTGTGGATAAACAATTGGAAGTATTTCCTTGAATTAAATCGCATCCAATCAAGGAGGGTTTATCCTCCAACTTATATGACGCATCCTAATTAGTATAGATAGAGCAATCAAATGAAAAAGATGGCGCTTTTATTGCCTACCCTGTAGAAGTTCGTATGCATCGATACAGCATTCTTCTTCCCTGGCGTTGTTCCCTTCTCTCTGCATTTGTTTTTTGAAATGAAGCACATACCCTTGAACATATCATGCAGGTTCTCTGGAGTTGTGATATCTTTATATTTGGCCCTGCTGTACAGATGAATAAACTGAATAAATGTCGAGCCAATTAATAGCCAATTTTGATGTGAATCGGAAAAGTTCATGATCGGCCTTGCTGAGATGTTGGCCCAAGGTTCTCCTCTCTGATCCAAGAGTCAAGAGAGTTAGTGATATCAAGAGGCGATTTCGCCCATTTCGATATCACGTGTCGAGATCGAGCGTTCCTTAATTTTAGGGTAGACCTAACCCTCTTAAAGCTAAATATTAATATATATATATATTTTTTTTTATCATCCTAGTTGCTTACTGTCTAGTACCTAACGTGAACATTGCCCCCCACCTTTTTGCCTGTCCATGAAACCATCTAGTTTCTTCTTAAAGATCGATGTTTTTAGTATTGATGGAAAGAACGTTCTTTAGAATTTTTTTGTGATGATGACTTTGAATCAGACTCAAATGCATATTAGAAAGGTGTACTTGTTTAGGGAAAATTTTGGTACATTTCGTTGAATCCTCTTCTATAAATTTGCTAAACTTTATGTTTTTCTCTCCTAGCTTCAGGAAGACTTAAGAAACAGAAAAGAAAGTATTCCATTTAATTTTCTTTTGCTGATGTGAGAAAAGGCTTCGCAATTGACGCTGCTGCAACGAAGGAAAGTTGGAATCCGGATGGAGGTATTTGAGAGTCCCATCAGAGTTAAAGAGGAGTTTCGATTATTTTCTTTTATGTCGAGCCTCATGCAAAATGTATTGATGTAGGCTTGAGTTGGATTGAAGTAATTTTAAAAAAATAGTATATTGACTTACGGGACACCCCGTAGATTCTTTACAAATGCCTACAGTGAGCTTACATGCAATCCAAAGGCAGAGTTAATGACATTTTCTCAGGGATGGCTTAATAAACTTCCATACCGCGCAAGTGATCAGAAATGTTTTTCTGTGACTACATTTTAAAATGCAGTATCCCTGTGCAAGAGTGCTGCAGCGGATACAATTACATTTCAAAAACGGAGTGACCACCCTTTCCCCTTCCTTCCCCTCTTTTCCTTCCTACCCCCTTGGATTTTGGAAGCTAAAAGGCAGGAAGGGCAACAGGACCTGGTGGGATTCCGATTCGTGCCATCAAGGATTAGTAAGAGAAGAATTGATATCGTTGAGCATCATCTTCGAGATTAGAATTTTGCCTGATGAAGTCCCTCGAGACTAGAAAATATGAAACGTCTAACTATCTTCAGGAGGAGACATGAGAGCAATCTAGGAAATTACTGACCCGAGTCTCACGAGTTTCTCTGGAAAGATCACGGACAACATTAAGATAGAACACATTTTTTAAATTCCTCGAGGTGCATTCGTTCATCGGGGAATTTCAGCGCGGCTTTCCGGCGGCGAATTCGCCTTCCCAAATTTCTCGAAATCTATGATTGGTTGACTGAAAAGGCTGAAGTAAGGAAACCCGTGGACATCGTTTTCTACATTTTGAGGAAGCTTTCGATACCACTCCCCCCACGAGGTTTTCGGGGTAAATTGGAGGCGCATGGATTCAAGATACAGTGAATATCTGAATAAGTAACTGGATGTCGGAATAAGAGCCGATCGTAATTGTATAATGGAGAAGTTTTGGTGGAAGTAGATGTAGGAATAGTCTCAAGAGGTTCGGTCCCGGGACTGCTTCAATTAGTAGTTTACTTCAGCGTTTTTGATGAAGGCCTCACGAGGAAAATCAGCAAATTTGCCGACAATACGAATATAGGTTTATCCCTCAGTGGGGAGGACAGGCGAGAGCTGAAATGGAGTTACAGCTTTTGGCAGTGTGGAGTAAAAAATGGATCATGAAGTTCAATAAGGTTCAGTAAGGTCTCCTACATAGTTCATAATAGCGATCGTCCTCTGAACGCATTCGGCGAGGATAAGCAGGAGGAGATGAACGGAGAGGTAACAGGATCGTTGACTTCATCCAACATTCCATTTCTAAGAACTAGCACATTTGCGACAATGAGGAAAGGGGCTTCCTGCAGGAAACTTTTAGAAACGTTAGAACTCTTCTCGCTCGTGGGGAGAAGCCCTCCATCCGGAATCGGACATTCCGGTGCATCTACTGCACTTTCTTCCGACCGTCCGCCCGTCAGATGAAAATCGGAGCGCGCGCAACAGGACCAGACACTTCAACTGGTGTCGCACGTTGGGGGTTCAATATAAACATGCCACGTTGCTGAGAAGCGGCTGCTCCCGAGCATGCCAACGGCAATGTCATAGCTTTGTTCGAAACCGGCAGCATCGATTTCTCTTTTATAGTATCGAGTTCAACTTTATTCACTTGACTCTGACCGTTTTGAAGCAAGCTCACCTCATCCTGATCATCACTTTCACCCAGTGATTTTTTATTTTACTGGAAACTTGTTAGAATCCAGTGAAAAACTACCGGATTCAACGGAAAACGGCGTGGGTCCTAGCCAG